TTTTTTTGGGGGGGGGGGGGGGCCCCCCCCCCCCCCCCCCCCCGCCCCCCCCCCCCCGCCCAGCCGAGGCTTCGCCCCGGCGCCCCTGTCCGAGGCCTCGATTGGCCTGGTACCCTTCCTTCTGAGGGACCACAGTGGGTTAAGCGTGAAAGCGGGTGTGTACATTGCATCCTAGCCGTAGCTCGTGGCTAAGGGTGCTCTTATATTTGATTTACGGGCTCTACCTACCTGACCGACGACTCGCATAAGGCACATTCCAGCCCGGTGTAAGGGAACGGATCTGGTCTTCAGATTTAATCCCAACAATAAGCGCCGACCTTTTAGGAGGGAAGCGTGTTGTTGGAAGGGCTCGACCCAAAAGCCTTGGCTAGAGGGACGAGGACTTGTTAAATCGTTTTTTCCTATACGACAGAATCCTATATAAAATGCTGTCCCACCATTGTGTGTCCCAGAACCGTGTCGGTACTAATACGTTGATGGCAAAACAAAGTGTGATTCGGTGTGTCGGTCTGTCTGCGTTACACAATGTACCCAACTATGAAGAGTGACCTATCACTCTTCCATGTAACATGGCTACACTTGGTGAGCCCCGTTACATTACCGGCCATTTGCAACCCAGGTTGTATTTCTGGCGATCCGCGCTCTGTGATTGGTCAGAGGTAGGGTATCGGCGAGGATTTTGGCTGGTACGGCGCCCAAAAAGCGGGGTGTCATTTGCAACTTATGTAGCGCGCCGAGTAGTAAATTCTGTTCAGTTTCGCAACCCTATCGCCATACTAAAGTCAAGTGAGGGTAGCAAAACACCGCCGTATGAGAGCTCCACGCCATACTGCCGAAGAGTTGCGCAAAACACTCCGGGATAATCAAACACCGCGGCGCTGCTCATGACGGCCGTGTCCAGCCTGGCGAGTTGCTGCGCGTACGACTGGTGGGGCTGCGCGTACGACTGGAAGAGGGCGCGCAGGTCCGCGCTGCGGCCGAGATCGCCACGGGTTTGGCGGTGAAGCAGCTGGGCTATCTCCGCCCATTCTTGGTGCTGCTGTTGGTATGCAGCCCCTCCCTACAGCACTCTCCCCGCTCGTTGACTGCAAGTTGCTATCAAGAAGCTCATTGCGACGAAAGACCTCAAGACGGCAGTGGCATGCCAGACAACTTCTCGTGTGCGCGGCCCGTGCCGGCCGTCATCGGCATGTCCTGCATCGGTTCGCGAGCGTATACACGTTCGTGGTCATCTACCGCGTGATGGTGCCTACGTCCAAGCCCATCATGAACTACAACAATCAGGGCGTGTGGTACATGAGCAAGTGGGGTGGTGGCTCGCGGTCGTCTCGCAGATGTGTGCCCTGCGTGCTGGGCGAGACACTGCTGGGCGGCCTGTTCCCGGACACCTTCAGCACCACCAACAGGATCGTCGTTATGGCGCTCGGTGCATGCCCGTGTGCCTCACCCTGACGCTCAAGAAGGGCACCGGGCTCGCCAGTGGCGCGGTACGCACATCGTCGACATCATCGGCGTGACCATAGCACGACATGTCTGGGCCGCTCGACTTCACCGGCACCAAGATCAAAATCTCGCTTGTGCAGATCGCAGGTCGGGGGCATGTTTGGCAAACTGTTGCTCGTGTACAACGCTATCCCGGCCGGGCAGCGTACTCGGCGTCGCCGAGTCGGCGTTGGACTGCCTGCTGCGCAACAAGAGCGTGGGGTCGGATCGCTGGCAACTTGGTCGCCATGACCAGCTCTTTCCACCAGAACGACGGCTATGGCAGTCATTTCTAAGAGCACTGCTGGCGAAGCTACAGCAAAGCGCACCAAACAGCATGCATCGCTTTCTAGCAGTCTGTTAGACTCGCAAAAGTGCACTTCAACGCCTAAGTTAATTTTAGCCAATCAACGATCGATAGCAAAGCAGGTCGCACGCCCTGCTGGTATTTATACATTCTCGTATTTACGTAAGTTACATATGGGATTTCCTGTTAAAACGTAGGCGGATTGGCTTGTGATTTCCGGAATTGGTGTATTCCCACCCCTTGGAGGACGACACATTGACTGAGGTCCACTAAGGGGCAGTTAGGATCGCATCCTTACGGGAAGGCGTAAGCGATGGTAGCCGACGATAAGGCGCCACGATGATTGGCCAAAATCACTTTAAGAACTATCGCTTCGTGCGAAGATGGCTGATGGAAGCTCGCAGGACGCTGTCGCGGAGGTGAAGGCAATACGCGACGCATGTGCCTCCAAAGAGACGAGAAAGAAGTACACCAGCAATATCAACGGCATCAAGAAGTGGATCAGAGAAGTGTATGCGCTGACGCTGGAGGATCGCAATACAGCTAAATTCTTCGATGCCGATGATGATCTAAACCTCACAGAGTTCACTCCAGCTTGCTTCGAGCAAATTTTGGTGTACAAACGAAGTACAGCCAAATCGGCGACTCTAAGCGGCTATCGCAGCGCGATAAAGGATCTGTATCGATTGAAACGAGTAGCGCTGCCTGTGGAATACGGAGATGACATGAAGCAGTTTTTTCTGGGTGCAAGCGACTCGAGGCCGATCAAAACCAGTCTAGCTCTCCTAAATACTCGGGCAAGCAGCCGCTGACTTTTTCGTTGTACAAGAAGCTGTGTTGGTCTACTCTTGAGCGCAACGGTGGGGGGTTCTCGCATCTCTTTTAAACTACTCAGTGGAATCTCATGTGTCGATCGGTATCTTTTCAAACCCTGCAGACGCAGCACTTTTTGGTCAAAAGATGACGCTGTTGGGGCGATATTTTTTAAGACCAAGACCAATCAGGAAGGTGCTGGCCCACGTGACCCCCGTCATCTTTACGCAAACCCTTTTTCGCCATCTACGTGTTGGGTGACAGCGTTGGCGATTTATTGGGCATGTAATCCGCGCGCGCAACCAGGGCCACTATTTCCGGGATCTGACCCAAAGCTTCGCTTCGGCAAGACATTAGGAAATCTCCTGAAAAAAGATGGAGTGGCGAAAACCTACGGGACGCACTCGGTGAGGAAAGGTGTGGCAACATTTGCCTGCGGAGGAAGTACTGGTGGTCTGTGTTTGTCTTCGGTGTGGGTGCTCTATGGGTGGAGTGCAAGACAGATACTTTCGATATGAAGCTGCGGGCGATCAAGTTTTAGGGCGTGTTGTTGCTGGGTTTCCTGTGAATGACTCCAAGTTCGCCATCCTACCACCGCACTTCCGCAATAACTCGGACGACGAGATAAAGTCGTATCTTGCAGCGATGTTTCCAGGACTCGTCGACGAATTGAACCTAAGTGATATTTTGAGGCTGTGTCTTGCTTCGCTTGTCCAGCACGCTGAATTTTTAGTGAACCACTTGCCTACCAACCACCCCCTTCTGTCGACGTTTATGTTCACAAACCCTACCGTTCTCAATAATCTGCGTTCGAAACTGGAGGTCGGAGAGTCAAGATGTATGGAGCCGTCGGGGATACCGCCTCATATTGAGCTGTACAAGAAGCTCGACAAACAGCAACAGTCTATAGATGCTCTCCCCGAAATGCTTGAACAGCGAATGGAAAAGGTGCTCGAGGAAAAAGGTGTCGCCGCGGGTAATATTACTCGGGAACTTTTTCGCCAAGAAATTAAAGCGCTCTTGCTGGAGGTGGGGCTTCGTCGCACTAGCTCTACAGAACCAACACCAGCCTTCTGGTCCAACGCACACCTACTGGTAAGTTTCATAGGCTGCCGAAAGAATTTGAATTTCCCAGTATCGATCCACTCGGCGCGTGGATATTGTGGTGGTTTGGCGATGCGAGTCGTGGCTATCCTCCGTACAAAGCTATCTCCTCGGACGATCTCGACACGCCAAATAAGAAAGCGACTTTGTCGGAGTGGTCTATCATGATGAGGCGCATAAGTAACGCAGTTGAAGCACAAACAGGCATGTCACTACCTCCAATTCACGAAGAACCTCACGCCATCGAGCTGTTCAACATCGGCTATCACAAACTTCAATTAAAGCCGAGTAAGCGTAAGCGCAGAACCAATCAGCTCAAGCTTACCACGGTGCTGAGATTAATTCGCGAAGCTGAAGGCACAGGCACGCGGTCGCTTCCATTCAAGCGGCGGAAGCGTCAAGTCGCTGTGGAGAATAGCCCAGCTCATGGTCCACTCGAACCTTCAGCAGTCACGCTCCAGTCGGTGACGCCATCAGCAACATCGACGCCGCCCGCGACATCAACGCCGGCAGCAGCAACACCTTCGTCGCCAACACAAGCTTCAGATGTCGCCCCGCCGCCAGCTTTGACACCTGCAGCATCGGCGGCTCCAGCGGCATCGGCGACTTCAGCGGCAACGGCGACTCCAGCGTCGACATCTTCGCGACGAGCTGCGGCGACACCACAAGCGATAGTGACCCCGCCAGCAACAGCGACATCACTTGTGGCAACGACGCTGTCAGCTTCGCAACCAGCAACAGCGACGTTCACGCGGAGCGCGCGCCCTCACGGGTCTTCACGAAGTCGGCAGCACACCAAGCCACGACAAAACACGCGTAAGAGATGAATTAGTAAATACACAGCGCGCTAATAGCTTACATACGTCCAACACTTACGAGGACACAGAAGCTCTGTTCAGCTCCCCAGCATATTGCTTTGCTTTGTGATTCGTCGATAGCAGACAATTCACAATTTTAACCAATAAGAGCGAACTCTCCAAGCGTCGGCGTCCAGGACTTACGTTTTCTCAAGTCAATTCAATACTGGTGGACCTCGCTGAGACGTTCCGCTCGATCTCCAAGTCACTGGGGGCCTGAGCCGGGCTCATCTAGAGCACGAGCGCTGCTTGGGCGGGCGGCAAAGGCGAAGTGGTGATGTAGGGAGATAGGACCAAGATGATTCAGATTCATGTTGAAACCAGTATGTTGCGGTAAGCTCCGTTGCGCAATTCAACAGCTGCACCTTAAGCTTCCCGCCAAAAGCAACATCGATCCATTTATCTTTGTCCTGGTTTGGACGATGCTGTGGGTGGACAAGTACCGGCCGACGTCGCTGGGGGAGCTGGACTTCCACCCGGAGGTGACCAAGCGGCTGACGAACCTGTCGCAGTCGTCGGACTTGCCACACCTGCTCGTGTACGGGCCGTCGGGCGCCGGCAAGAAGACGCGCATCATGGCGCTGCTGCGCGCGCTCTACGGAGACGGCGCGCTCAAGGTGCGGCTGGAGCACAAGGCGTTCAAGGCGCCCCACCGCAGCACGAAAGTCGAGATCACGACCGTGGCCAGCAACTTCCACATCGAGATGAACCCGTCGGACGTGGGCAACAACGACCGCCTCGTGGTGCAGAAGGTGCTCAAGGAGATCGCCCAGTACCACATGGCCGACACGAACTCGCAGCGGCCCTTCAAGGTCGTGCTGCTCATGGAGGTCGACCGCCTCAGCAAGGGAGCGCAGCACGCGCTGCGTCGCACCATGGAGAAGTACACAGCCACGTGCCGCCTCGTGCTGTGCTGCAACAACCCCAGCAAGGTCATCGACCCGCTGCGTAGCCGTTGTCTGGGCGTGCGCGTGGGCGCCCCCACCACGGACGAGATCTGCGGTGTACTGCAGGGCGTCTGCTCCAAGGAGGGACTCGCCTACTGCGCGCCGCTGGGCCAGGAGATCGCCGTCAAGAGCGAGCGGAATCTGCGCCGCGCGCTGCTCATGCTCGAGACCTGCCGTGTCCAGAAGTGCGTGGCCTTCCTTACACTGCTGCTAAATGGCTCGTAGATAGGCAGGTTGGCTGCTGAGTGCTGACTGGTTCTTGTTGCGTTGTGTGCTGCTGCAGCTACCCGTTCTCGCCCGACCAGCAGATCCAGTTGCCGGCGTGGGAGGAATACATCTGCAGTCTGTCCAAGGTGGTGCTGCAGGAGCAGTCGCCCGCAGGGTACGTACGCGTCGTCGCTCTCACTCTCCTCCATCGTTTGTTGCTCCTTATTCTGATGGTGCTAACGAGCTTCATGTTTCAAATGCGGGCGTGCAGGCTGCTGAAGGCGCGCGAGATGATCTACGAGCTCATCTCCAACTGCGTGCCGTCCGAGGTGATCCTCAAGGTGCTGTGTCGCGAGCTCATGAGCCGCCTGGACGACGACCTCAAGCACGAGCTCGTGCAGTGGGCCTCGTACTACGAGCATCGCATGCAGCGCGGCTCCAAGGATATTTTCCACTTCGAGGCCTTCCTGGCCAAGTTCATGACGCTCTACAAGAAGTTCCTGCTGGACCTGTACATGTAGAGCTAAGTGACGCTAAAACAACGAATGAATGAACGAACGAGCGCTCCCTCCATCACCTCACCTCGCCCCGCGTCCCCGTTGATTTGCCAGTCATTCAATCATTCATCCATTCGTCGCTGTGTGAGTGTGTGAGACCATGTGGCTGGTGGCGGTGTTGACGCGCTTCGAGGCGCTGCAGACGTTCCTGTCCAGCGGCGAGCGCGAGAGCGTCAAGTCGGCGCTGTTCGAGCGGCGCGGAGCTGACAGCGCCAGCGCCAACGCCGAGACCCGCGAGCCAGCGACGGAGGAGGTCGCGGCGTCTTCCACCAGCCTCGACACGCAGACGACCACTGGAGGCTCGGCGCATCTGGAGCGGTTAGTGGTGGAGCCTCAGTCTCTCACTTCTCTGGTTAGTCGTGCTAAGTGATCCGATGCTGCAGGTGGAAGAAGTGGAAGCTCGAGGGCGACAAGATCGACGAGCTCACGTCCACGGCCGGCTCCGAGGCGGACGAGGCGCTGAAGGTTCTGGAGTCGAGCGTGGCCAACTTGCGCTTCTTCGCGAGGGGCAAGCGCGGCGTCTTGTACGCCGGCGAACTGCGCTCCAACGACAAGCCGGTGGTGGCGAAGCTGGCTGCGGGCGCGACGGCGGCCGGGTCCGTGACGCTGGAGGCGCGCTGGCTTCGAGTGGTGAACCGCATGGGGATCGGCGCCAGGCTGGTGGACGCGGGCGCGGGCTGGTTCCTGTGCGAGCGGCTCGACGGCCAGAACGTGGTCGAGTTCCTAGGCGAGAGCGACGAGGTCGCGACGCCAGCCAACGCTATGTGGGTCGTCCGCGAGATGCTGTGCCAGGTGCGTGTCGAGTGCTGCAGCCCCGCAAGACTGACTGACTGACTGACTGACTGACTGACTGTCGTGTGCTCTGCCAGTGCTTCGCCCTGGACCTCATGGGGGTGAACAAGGAGGAGATGACGCACCCTCACCGCCACATCATCGTGCACCGCTCCACGCAGCAGCAGCAGGGGCCTGTGCGATGGCGCTGCACGTTCGTCGACTTTGAGAAGTGCTCGTCCACCAAGAAACCCAAGAACGTCACGCAGCTCTGCCAGGTACTGCACGCCCAGCCTCTCTGCATCAAGGCAAACTGCTCATGGGCTCTCTCTGTCTCTGTGTCTGCAGTTCCTCAGCTCGCCTCGCATGGTGGCACTGCTGGCAAGTAAGCACGTCAAGGTGGACGTCCCCAAGCTGCGGCAGTGCACCAAGCGCTACAAGCAGGACATCTCGACCCAGCCCTTCGGCGACATCATGCGCGTCTTCGGCCTGTAGCACAAGGCAGCAGCTATCCATACACAAACGCTAACTAGCAAGTTCGTACGTATAAAGCCCTCTCCATGCGCCCGCTCTCGCTTCCGCCAGCTCAGTCACTTTCAGATTTGCCGGTTTCAACGCACAGGACTGCGGCCCGGTCGATGGCCACCCGCAACGCCCGCTACTGGCGCCGCTTCCTCCACGACCTGCTGCAGTCTGGCCCTGCCCCCGACGCCTCGTACGACGGCGTGTGCTTCTTCTCGCTCTCGGGGCGCGTTGAGTTCCGCGACGGCTGCTTCCGCGCGTCCTCCGCCCGCGCTCTGGCCGTGGAGCCGCTGCAGCTTCTGTCCCTCTTCGAGCAGCTCACGCGCCAGGCCGTCCAGGAGGAGAAGCAGCAGCAGCAGCCAAAGGCCGACAAGCGCCCGACGCAGAGTCTGACGGCCGCGCTGAGACTCGGCGGCGACTGCGTCTTCCACGTCGTCTCAGCCTCCTTCTCGAGCGTCTGCGCGCTGTCCAGCGGTAGGGCGCGCGGCCTCGTGGCCGAGAAGCTCCCGTTCGGCGTGCTGGTCGTGGCCTTCTCGGCGCCGCTCAGTCTGCAGACGGTCTTCGCCCGCGTGGATCGCGCGTGCGCCGCGCTCAGGGTCTGACTGCCCTGAGCCTTTTCTAGCCAAGTGCTAGGATTGTACTACCCGCAGCAGCAGCAGCAGTTCCCAACTTTTCGCGGAAGAGGGAGCAGAAGAGAAGGAGAAGAGGAGGAGGAGAAGAAGAGAAGAAGGAGAAGATGTACTTCTGCGCGGCGTGCAAGCTCTACGTCAAGGACTCGAGCGTGGCGGAGCACGACCAGAGCACGGCGCACCTGCTCTCGAGCTCCAACGGGGTGTCGGTGCGCAAGGTGTGGCTGCCCGAGACGAACCGCGGTTACCAGATGCTCAAGTCCATGGGCTGGAGAGAGAGCGGCGGCCTGGGGCCCGCGGGGGACGGCAAGGTCACGCCCATCGCCACGACCTTCAAGACGGACAGGGCGGGCGTCGGCCTGCAGCCCACGGCCAAGCAGGCGCGAGTGACGCACTTCCCCGCGCACGACGAGCAGCAGGCCAGGCTGGCAGCGGACGGACGCAGTGAAGCGCAACGCATGCAGGACCGACTCGCCCGCAAGCGCAAGCAGGCCCAGCATCACCCAGTCGGGCTCTCCAAGGCGCAGCGGAAGCTGCAGAAGCAAATGGAGCAGAGGCGAGACCGCGCCATTGGCAACGAGCTATACGCGGAAGGCTTGGAGGGCTACGAGGGGTTTCTGCGGTAACTCAAGTAATTTACCTTGGTCATGGTGAGGAGCTCTCTTCTTGTGCGTCGTCCTCCTCAGTCACAGTTTCGATGTCAAAGTTGAAGAGTGTCCAGCATCCTCGATCCCCGTTGGTGTCATCATAATCCGCTGCAGCAACTTGACTACGTCCGTGCGGCAGTCGACGCTGTCACCCATGGCAGCGAACACCATATCTTCATGCGTGCAATTGCTCACTTCGTAGTACGTGGCAGCTTGGCCCGCTTCGTTCTGGGAATGGAAACATGGATGTTAGCCTGGTCAACTACAGCGAGGTGGTGTGGCTGTACGCACCAGGTGGAAGGCGAGCTTCTTGGACGAAGTCGTAGGGACAACCTGCATCCATTCACCAAATGCATTAGGACTATGAACCAGCACGCCGTGGCTGTGAATTCAACGTACCGTATCGTCCTCCCCATGCAGCAGATAAAATGGCGGCAGCGAGAAGGCTGGAAACGTCAAATGTCAGCTAGCGGCAACCAGCTACAGCTTATAACCCCGACAACAAGTACAGAACACTTTTCTTACCAATGTCTCTCGCCTCAGCAACGAGCGCTGTAGGGCTATGCTTCTTGAAATTGCCCATGCCGAGCATTGCAGGCTTCATGGACGAGATCTCGTGTACTCCTATCCATACCATCAGTGCAACCATCATTGGGTCAGTGGACTGGCTTAGGAGTACGGCCCAGACACGCACTCGTACCGTTGAACGGACCCACGACGCGCTCGCTTTCAAAGACGTAGTGCTCCGAGATGTCGTAGGGCGCCGACAGTCCGACGAATCCCCGCACGTAGTTAGCGATCTCCTTCCGGTCTCCGGCCTTCGGGTCATTGCCAGCGAGACGGAGCCCCGAGTTGACGAGCGCCAGTGCCGCCACGTGTCCGCCAGACGAGTGGCCACTCAGAAAGAGCTTGCTCCTGTCGCCTCCGAGCGCCTCGCAGTTCTCCGCTACCCAGAAAACCTGCAACAGAATGCATCGCATCGTGTCAGCTTCAAGCTTAGAGCTTTAACTGCGAACGAAGACCCACGTACGTACCGCGTTCTCAACGTCCTGCATCATGTCCACGACCGAGCCGCTGGGGAACGTCCTGTAGTTGATGACCGCCACCAGGAAGCCCTGCGTGGCCAGGTACTCCCCCACGAGCGCGTACTGCCACTTGTGGCCGAAGGACCAGGCCCCTCCGTGCATGAAGACGAGCACAGGCTTGGCCGGCGCCTGCTGCTGCTGCTGCTCGTGCACGCCGTAGACGTCGAGCGTGTGGCGCTCGTGCGGCCCGTAGCGGCAGTTGACGCGGCAGTCGCGGGGCTTCCGCAGCAGCAAGCGACCGATCCGCGCCGCCAGCTGGGGCTTCACCAGGCACAGGAGGTACTCGGAGCTGGCGATGAGCTGCCCCACGGACGTGTACTTGAGCGCGGCCTGCACATGCTGCGGCCACGGGAGGCAGGGGTCGCTCTGCTTGAGCAGCGCGTGCTGCTGCCGCAGGTTGAGGCCGGTGTTCCGGAGGTAGGCCAGCAGAGCCACGACGAGCGCAACGCGCCGCGGGTGGAGGCGCGGCGCCGGGTCCAGAGGCTGCAGCTCCGCCATGATATGCCCGAGAGGTCTGGTCTCGTTTACGAAAACAAACAATCAAATGACGCAAAGAGGGACTCTGAAATGCAATTTATGAACGGCGGTGCGCTCGTATCCCGACAGCCCCCGGCTGTCTGGCTGACTGCCTGCGCTGCAGCTCCATCCCTACGACGACTGCTACTGCTCAGTACGGCACGTACTCGAGCTCGCGGCAGTTGTTGAACTGGATGGCGTCGCTCGCGACGAACTTGGCCAGCGGGTCGATGCCCGAAAAGTTTTTCCACTGCTCGAACGTCCGCTTGGTGCCGATGGTGAACTTGTCCAGGTCCGTGCGGTCGAAGTCCTCCTTCGTGACGGGCAGGCCGAGGTTGTAGCGGATGCGGCGCTTGGACGGCTGCTGTATTACGTACCGCTGGCTCCAGTCGCGCTCCCACACCACCTTCCGCTTCTCGTACCAGTGGTACGCGATGTCCTCCGAGGGCACGTAGAAGTCGTAGCCGGCCGTCCACAGCCGCGTCGCGCGCGAATACTCCTCGCCGTGGAAGAGGTAGGGCGTGTACGGGTCGTTGCGCACCTCCTTCGCCTGGGTGCACCCGCCAAAGTTGAAGCCGCCCGCGAGCTGCGACATCAGCCTCGGCTTGGGCGTGTCCTTCTTGTCGATCCACATGGGGGCCGCGTACTGCACCATCGAGTCCGGGTCCTGCGTCTCGATGCGGGACATGCACATGAGCTGCACCTTGACGTCCACGTCGTGCTTCGTCAGGTGCTCCGTGGACTTGGGGTAGACCGAGATGATGGCGTTCGGGTTCTCGATCGAGTCCCATTGGGTCATGATCTTTTCGTCCCAGTCCGGGATGAAGACGAGGTGCGAGTCGATCGTCATGCAGAAATCCTCGTCTGTGATGGCCTTCTCCGTCTCGTACCGCGCAGCAGTGGGGCCCTTCACAGCGACAACAACGTGCATCACACACACACACACACACACACAACATAGCAAAACATCAGGCGTCAGCGCCAATCTGCCTCAACGATCGCTGCCGCCACCACGTACCGTCGCGTTCACAGCGTCAATCTGGGACGACACGATCTGCGGGCGGCGGCAATAGGCCTCCCCCACGAGCTCGCAGAAGATCTCAACGCACGGACGCTCCTTCTCCGCCGGGTAGATCTGGTCGTAGATGCTGATCTTGATGTTGTCGGGCTCCGCGGCGTTGTCGAAGATGGAGCGCAGCGTCTCCGAACACCTTCACAGCAGGTCAAGCAACACAGTCAGTTTGCCAGTCTGTCAAGGTCTTCCCTACTACTGCGCGGGGCTGTGCGTGTGCCCGGGAGAGGGAGGACGAGCACCTGGCCGAGTCCCGGTAGTTGGCGACGAGGATGATGGTCCGGCGTCCGTTGACGATGGACGGCGGCTGCGTGGGCTCTGGGGCGGGCGTGGAGGCCGCCTCCTGGTCGGCGCGCAGGTGCAGGCTGCGCTCCTCGACGGGGGCGTCCACCGCCGCGCCGTTGGCCGCGTACTCCTGCAGGTAGAGGAACTCGTAGAGCACCACGACGAGGCAGATGACGGGGAAGACCATGAGCACCGCCACGCGCAGGTCCAGCCCGGCGCCTCGCCGCGGCTCCCCGCGGGAGCTCACGCGCCCGTACGGCTGGTAGCCTGCCTTCATTCGCGTCGAGGAGGAGGGCGGCGGCGGCGGCGTCGGCCTTGACACTTTGGCGTTTGTTCGTCGTCTCGTCGGTGGACTTGGCTCAGTTTCGCCCACGTCACTTCTCGTTCTGACACGAAAAAACCTATTTAAATTCTATTAACCTATACAACAGCATATCGGGGGGGTAGCAACCGATCAGTACGACAACAAAACCACAACCAGGAACACTTTACAGTCAAAGGCAACCACAAGACCCTTCTGTTCCATCATCTATATACATCGCAAAATCTCTACAAAATCGCATCATTTGCCAGCCAAAGCCGAAGCTGGTGGCTCAAATTCCGCCTCTGGCGGGGTGGAAGCCGGAAGCGCAGCCATTCTACACTTGCTTGCGTCTTGATGCCCAGGTCAAAGATCGTGGGCTCTTTCAGGCTTTCTTCAACTGCCTGGATCGATTCCAACGACGTGCGCACTAGCACGGCCAGATTCTGCGCACCGCTCACCCCAACGACATACAAACACTCATTCGAGCACACAACAGTCACTTGAACCAGCCGAAGCGCCATATCTGCCTGCAGCAACAGACCTCGAAGGGCTTCGTTGTCAGGGGCTTGAAGTTGGTCTGCAGACAAGTCGTTGCACTCATTGTCGGAGGCGGCCAGCTTGTTTTCGGCCCCAATGACCCAAACGCCATGCGCAAAAATCAAACTGCTTCCGATCGCGTCCGGCAGCACCTTCAGCTTGTAGCGCAATAGCTCGTTTGGTCTCGCATCAAACCGCGACACCGAGTCGTCGAAAGGTGCTCGATTGCCCCCCATTCCATAGAGCAGTCCATCCGATGTCATCGACACCAGAGACGCAACTCCACCCATTGGTCGCGCAACAATACCCACAAGGCCCATTCCAACACCGCCTACCACGCTTCGAAGTCCATTATCGAGACCTTGCATCTGTCGCTCCTTGTAAACGGCAATCGGAGTCGTGATCACTCCAGCTGCTGCTCCAACAACACTCGATCCCAAAGACCCTAGGCCGTTGGCCAGAGCTGACGACAACTGCGTTGGGCGGGTGTAATGGCGCTTCTTTAGCTGATCTGACGGCAGCGTGAGTTGATCCATAGTCCGAGAAATTGAGTACGAGAATCCAGATACAGAGGTGAGTGTTGCTGCTGTGGCATGGCCTAAAAAGGAGGCAACACCACCAACCACGCCCTTGGTAAGTACCCATGGACTGTAGCCATTTCGGGACGCAGCCAGAGGAATTTCAACGAGGTCCCGAACGCCTTGGCCAAAGCTTCGAAGGAAACCTCTGCACGACACAAAAAGCAAATAAGCGGCACAGTTGTCAGTCATGAGTAATGGAAACACCAAAGCAGAGCTCAAACTTACGCTGGGTTGCCGATAATGTTCAACGACATGAGAAGCATCGGAGAGCGGACAATTGCGTCGGCCACGTAATCAGCTGCCAGATCCTTGTAGAGTTGATCAGGGAACGAAAACACCTCGCGCATCTCAGTTGACCCGAAGTGCAGTGGGGTCCCGTCGAAGCTATTCAGCACAGGAATCGACACTCTTGCGGTGATAGTCACCTGGAGATTACTGATCTCCAATCGCTCGATGTAAACTTTGCGCTGCTTGGTGATGACTGCTGACTCAAACGCGGCCGTGCTCCAAGCACCCTCATCGGGAGTCCGTGGCTTGGAGTTGACATCGCCAGAAGCAGCTTCTCCTTCTAGCGCATCCAGTGTGGGTCGGATGAATGCGTTCACGTAGGTCAGAATGTCGTCTTCCACCTGAAATACATGCATTCATACAAACAAGTTTGTCAGATACATCATCACGAAACGCATCAAGAGGTGACATGTTACCTGAAGAACAGCCGGGGCAAGCTTCAGCTCGATGCTGTGGAAATACGACGGGATTCCAACCGGGTCCCAGGTATCTGTATAGATGACTCTGGTAACCAAGGAGGAGAACTCCGCTCCAGGCAGTTGCTTGCCCAGAAGCTTCCCCATCAGATCCACTAACTTTTCCTGCTTTCGAACCCGATCGAATTGCAGCAAGTCTTTTGACGCATGGGTTTCCGGAAAGCACAGCATCACAGGGAAATTGCACGTTTGTAGGAAATGCCCCACCTCGATATCTTCGACCCCAACGAAAAGTGTTGTATACGACCGGACGTGCGATAGATACCCCAGGCGTGTGCTGTGGCGTGAAACTTCAGGGGGGTCTGGAGCCGTCGCAAAAACGATTGACACTGCGTTGCAAGTCGCTCGTAGAATTTCTGGGTATAAAATCAACCCTCTCGCATCGCGTACGGGGTCATGCTCGTCACAAAAGTGAAGAGAGAGCTCCTCCACGATCACACCAAGTTTCAGAAATGCTGGAGCGGCCTGCTCGACGTTGGTTGGGGTGGCTGCGGAAGGCAGAACCAACGAAGGTACTCCAGCTGAGTGGCCTTCGTGCGTTGGGTCCTCGAGGCAGGTGATAGAGATCAGCCATGATCCAGCTCGATAAAAGCACATGACTAAGAAGGTGGGTCCGGCCTTCCCAGTACCGTCTTCATCTGAAAATGACGCGAATTGAATCCCACCAACTTGCCAGAGCGCATTCGACCACCCATACTGAGGTGATCCGATCTGGAAACGCATGCGCTCGCCGTTCGTAGTGTCTGGCATGTTGACGCGCTCTCCAGCCTGCACTGAAGCTTCCATCCAATCTCGCAGCCGCTCGGTGTCTGACTCGGTACCGCTGTTGCTGCTTTCAGCATCCTCTGTTGGTTCCTCCTTTAGTGTGCGTTGCGTGGTGGAAACCTGCAAGAGCAACGTGATTGTGAATTGAATCGGCAGAATAGGTATCAATAAAAGAATGCCGGCCGCTTGCTTACCTGTAGACCCCAGTCATACTCCAGGTAATAATTGGATCCAACCCCTTCCGGATCCGACGGGAATGACACACTTCGGAAACCCAGCACGTTGTCCCACTGATTGTGGACGATCACGGGGGGCTGGTGGTCCACAAAGAACATAATGTGAATACTCTTGTGTGTCTGCGTCATGGTGTAGGTTAGCATCTTGTGGCGGAACCCCCGGTGACGAATCAGCAGGCGTCTTCGATGAATAGTCGTCGAGGGGGCCGGGTACAGACTTTCTGGCGTGTTGGGCGGTGCTGTTGACGGCGTCTGCGGCTCAACGATTGTCAGTTTGCCGTCTGAATTAAGTAGAAGGGGGATTTTCGGGAGTAGGACGGCGATTTCTTCCGTCCACTCGTATCCATCTTCGGCCAGGGATACCCGGAAGGAGCACGACAATCTCGCCACTAAGGCTTGTTTTGCGGGGTTAGACGAGTCCTCGCTGGGACGTCTTGACAGCTTCGAACTCAACCAAGACGATACGTCGGCAGTAATACTCCGCTTCTTTGCTTCTTTGTGAAGACACACCGGCACAGACCACCCTGCATCATCACCTGACACCAACTGTTACAGCGAGCGAAAGAATCGCCGCACCTTAGTAAATAAAATAAAATTATCAATCGAACATAAATCGCGTAAACGCACCGATAGTTCGTCTTCTGCAGCGAGTGAGTTTCCTCGCCCGTCTGTCGGAGCAAACTTTAAACCACAGTTCTACATGTAGACGATATCACAGCAGTTGTTAGCTTCTACTCAATAAAGTAAAAACGTATATCGACTGTAGCGTACCGTCGAATTGATCACCACGACTTGCGGTCGGATTGTCAACTTCAGATACCCATCACAGTTCGCCAGCTCGACGCAGTATGCGCTAGCTAAACTGCGTAGCCCTGTCCTACCGGGAGGCACGACAACTGGCTTTGTATCGCCGTTCACATTGAGAGTGATTTCTGGAGACCATTCCACTTGATCACCTGGCCCGCCGGATGCTTCATCATCAGCAATTGAGACCACCAGGCGGTTGCTCACCACTGAAAATCCAACGGATCGCTCCTCACATGAGGCAACTTTCTCAATGGCCCCTTGCTGTCGGAGCGAGCTACCGATGTTGATGTGAAGCGCACTTGGAGTCATGTTGGCAACACTCAGAACGCGCTCTGTTCTGATTCGCACCATCGGACGATGGTCATTGTTGACAGCAGCAACTACTCGGCACTCCCCTAGATCAAAAATCTGTTCCTTTTGTTCCACGCCAGGAGTACTGCATACCACCGAAAACTTGAACGGCTTTGTGGACGTATATGTACTGCCTTGGTGATCGTCATACAGCAGTTGGACGTCCACCGGTTCAAAAGGATTAAGTGCAGATAGGCTTCGTTCACTGGAAGGATGCACGTCGAGACTTACACTTGTGGCCTAGAGAAACACATACCAGTAAACATCAGCATGTACACACTCCGTAAGCCCTAGATAGCCTTCCTTACCTTCTGGAAAAAGCTGAAAGAGACAGGAATATCCATACTATTCTCCAGTGTAAGGGCAGGCCACAACGAAACTTCCATCCACGTGTAGCGTCGAGATACTTGGGGCTGCAGTGGATCAAAATCAGTTGGAAGTACTGCCCTGCACTGCGCACGGCCCACCTTAATCCACGCATAATGCGTTGTTTCGTCGGCATCACCAGGTTGCAGCACTACAAAGCTGCATTGCGACTTCTTGGACCCGTCTAATTGCCCATCGCTTATTTTCACCAGGTCAAACTCATTAGGAATGTTGTCGTGCTTTGACACAGAGCACCATGAGCCGCCTTGAACACCAAGGTCGATGCTAGATACTGACTCCACCATTATGCGTGACACATTGTCCTTGGTGCTCGTTGATACAGACAGAGTGCATGATGCCCCATCCAGCGAAATACAGTTGGAATGAGACTTGCCGTTTTGTTTAACAGCGCGGGAATCTTGATAGAGTTCATCAGACCTTGCGCATTCATGAGCATCTCCATTTACCCGGACACGAACAGGAAAGTCGCAAAAGTTGCTAAATGTCAACGGTGAACGCAGCGTGACAATTGCCTGCAAGCCCTTCAGCTCCACGCAAATCCACATAAATCCATGACTGCCAAAGAACCGCCCAGTAACGCTATTCTCCTTGATCCTGCACGGGTCACACCAAGGTGAATCATCATTTCCAATCTGCTGCTTCTCTTTGGCAGATTCCCTTCGGACTGCGTGGGTTGGATCTTCCAGCGCAAACCGAAGCTGGTAAAATGGACTGTTAGCCAACGAAAGCCAGCTGTATGCAGTATTTGCATGTGCAGTCAGTAGCAAGCTCTCTGTTGTCCCTTCTTGACGATACCAAATGTCCCTGCCGGTGAGATTTACAAGCTTGATCCGCATGCTCGAAAACTTGTCGTCGGACTCGGCTTCAACCAACTTCGGCGCTGGCCGTAAAATCTTTGGAATTGCAGACAGCACCAACATCGACGTATGATTCAGGTACACGGACACAGGGCCAATCAGCGTCGAGATCTCGAGGCCCTTTGAGGAAGTCTCAATCATTGCGTCAATCGTAGTTCTTGGGATGACAGATACGGTCAGGAGCTGCGCCATGTTATCAAGATACACTTGTATCGCCGACGAAACCCGCAGATTCAGCATCCTTGAGCGGCTCGTACCACCGGAAACAGCACAGGAGAGCGTTGTATCGGAAAGTTCAGTGGTGATAATATCGTGGGAGTCGTTGCTGGCCCCGACATGCGTAACAGATAGTGTAGCCTGGGGGAGCGTGACACCAACAACTATGCGCTGGTATCCATCACTGTCTAAGATAGAGTTCACCTGCAGTGAGGAAGCCAACAAGGCGTTCACCACTAGTCGTTTTTGTTTGTTCTGCACAACCATAACCAAGGTTAGTATGCGCATTTATATCATGCCAGTTTGGTGTCCACAACGTACCTCAGGCTCTTGTTCACTCTGGAGCGGGCTTCTCCATCTCAACTCCCAGTTGTCTGACGAAGGTGGCGTATCAAACGAGAACGTTCTCGTGCGACTGCCAAAGTCGAGCAGTTTTGCTCGATACCGTATTTGCTCCATATCGTCATCAAACCACTGGCTCATCAGCTCTCCAAAACTGCCTGGCTCGTAGGATTCGTCCGCATCATCCAGACCTCCATTACGTTCCCATGGAACATAGAATTCACAAACGAGAATGTAGCAACATTTTCTGCTATCCCAGCACCGCAGTTGGCAAAGAATATCGCAAAGCCGCTTGACATCGCTCTCTGCGTTCTGGTCCCAGCTCCATGAGGGCCAACCACTTGGTACCCCTGTAGGCGGAAGTGGAACCGGATCAGCCACGATCTTGTGTACACTTCGTGGTAAGTGATAGCACCACCGCATCCCCATCCAGCTGTGCGTTTTGTTTCCCAGTCCCGGAAGATCAGATCCCTCCACATTAGAATTGTGTTCTTCGATGATCCATGGTCCGTTGCAGTCCTCGAGGTAGGATACTACATCGGCCAGCTCAATATCATAGTTATTCGACTCAATTTGAATATGCGCCTTGGCACCGGAAATGGGTGATGGGGCACTTTGAGTTTCGACCAAGAGGGTCTCCGTGAAGACTAACTCTCCGGGGGCAGGTCGCCGACCTTCAGCCATCCGCCTTAGACTTTTGAAATCATCAGCCGAACTGCAACCGATGCTTTCCGTTGTGACGTTCCTTGGAGTAGCATTCTCAACCGCGCTTGCACTGCGTTCACCGCCACCTGGTAGCTTGCCATGACCCGGAGAAACTTTGTCAGCAGAACCGCCGCGTACGGCTAGCAAAGATTGAACAGCCGCTAAAGAAAATGATGATAGCTTCACGCAAAGTGCGTTCACTTCAGCCTGAATGTTTGTCCGCGCAATGTCGGTGTGAAGCAAGCAGACCCCCAGTTCTCCAAGTGCGACTCGCTCCACCATTTGCTGCTGGTCTCCAGTAACACGAATGCTGCAGTCATGCAGTAGACGCTGAGCCTCAGACACAGTGCTGATATGTTTCGAGAAACGCTGCCAAGAACTGCCTGTGTGAGCAGACGTTGGTCCAATTGAGCTTCGACGAAAGTGAACTTCTAGCGGAGGCAAACCGTCAGACGTATTGATCCCAAACTTGTCGACATTCAGCATCATCTGAAGAGTGGGGACGGCTACAAAGCGATTGATCGCATTGACGTCTTGCCGAGAGGTCTGTAGAGATTGCTGAGCAGATCCGTCGCTTCCAAGACTGGCACTTGCGAAAATCTGGCCAGACGTCATCCACACTCCAGAAGCCCTCGTATTGGTTGGGTTCCGTCTCCAGTATGATATCACACTTGGGGCTACAAGTAGTTTGACGTTCCACCTCGACTGGAACACGAACGGATGGCGCTTCGGAACGTGATGAACTCGCTCTCTTGGTAGCTTGTTCGGGCTGTAAGTCGAAAACGACAGATCGGGGTTTATCTGCGTAAATCGTGACACTGCTGCTATAAAGTGGTGGGATACGTGAAGCTGGTATGCCTGCACATCGAGAAACAATGTACCCTCCGAGCGTTCTCCGAAATTCCATCGTGCAGCGATCATTTTTTCGGGATAGTTTTCCACCGTTAGTTGCCACAAACTAGGCTCAGCATTCGCCCCAAACACCACTTCTTCGCTTGAACCGGTCTTTTGTGTAGGACTCCTAGGTTCATCAGCTGCACGATGTCCCACGACCAAATTTTGAACGTAGGCACTGCCGCCCAGCAGCGAGAAATTGTGCGCAATAGTGATGTTGCCAACCCGAACATGTGTAGATGCGCCCGCCTCCAGCATATTCACTTCAATTCCATCGCACGAGAATGACATTTCGTGCTGATTCGTGCAATTCTGTGTCGTGGCTGCTTTTGGCGGTGTCAACTCAACTGGCTTCAAATTCGCCTGTACTGGCGCCGCAACAGACCGACTTATTGCACCTGCTCCATGAATTACTCCCACAACCCGGGTTACCAGCACGTCAAACGCTGTTTTGGGTAGGTCGAGCCTCAGCTTGGTCAAAGCGACGGTGGTAGAGGTTTTTACGCCTGAAGAAACACCTTCATTGTTCGAGGTAGGCTCCTCTTCAATGCTGCATGTGACGTTGAACGGCGACCAGAACGTCCCCACAGTAGAAAATCGAGCTGAACGTCCAGCTGTCCGTCCGAGATGCTCTTCAAATGGTCCCAATTCACTTGGTTCTCTGGGCCCAGTGTGGTTGAATAGCAACGTAGCAACATGCCCAGATATCTTCCCAACTCTGCCTCCTAATCGAAGTTGTGACTGCCCGAACCGCTGGGCTTGAACGGTTGACCGCCTTGGCAAAACCCGAGAATTGAACGGAGGATACCCCAAACCATCGAGTGAAATGTCATTGCGTACAGCAGAAGCCATTGATAATGATTCCAGAACAAAAACAACATTCCCTGTTACCTCAGACCGCTCCGTCAGGACAGCATCCATAAGATCTTCGCTTGGAAGAATGAGACGGATTTGGCCGAGCAAGAGCGAGGCTTCGATATTGGCCAAGGATACTCGACGCGCTGCAGCATGTGGACCGGGATCAGCTGGCATCTGATCAACAGTGTCGGTAGTGGAAGGTAGAGGCTTTTGTTCAGTCACATCAGCGCCCAGTTTCAGCACTGACGCAATACAGTACAGACTGGATGTAGTCAAAGCCACATCCGCGTTCTCCATTGACCCCGCGATAACGTGATGAGGAAGGCCAGCCTCCTTGTAATTGCGATAAAATGCAGACAATAGCGGGTATAAGTGAGCTGACTTTGCCGATTCAGAATCGCTTGCAGACGCGACCAGAGGGATCTCAGCAAACCGTAGCTGTTCATCATCTTCTTGCTGGCGCCACTTGATGACCGTCATCTGGAACTCTTTAGCAATGTTGCTTGTTAAGTGCCACGAAAGCATTGCAGAGGGAAGTGACTCCGAATCAGGGGCGCTTGCATTTGACACATGCAGTGACTTCGACACGCATACCAAATCATCCAAATCCAAGCACACCAAAATCCCCAAGAATGCGTGCTCAGGTAACCGCGAAAACTCGCCGAACTTGCCACGTACTTCCCGTCGTGAAGGGCGAAGTCTTTCCACAACGCGAACATCGCCCACAGATACCTGAATATCTGTGAAAGTATGCCGCCCTCTTGGTTCAAGGTGGCTCTTAGTTGGATGATGATTGCCGAATCTTGTAGCTACACAAAGATTCGATACGTCGCCGTGCACAACTGCCCGAATCGATCTGCATCCACGATTTACTCCATGTACGATATCAGACGCAATTTCAAGGTCAATTTGGTCCACTTGAGCACCCAACCGCAAGTGCCACCGGTAACGGGGAGAGGAAGTGTTCTCAGTCACAGGTTTAGCAGTTGACGAGGGCCGATCAGGGTGCCTTCTCATTCGGGTTTCTGTCTCGACAAAAGGTAGCTTCGACAGGTACAGAAGCTTTACACCCACAGCAAAAAAGAACCGGTTAGCACAACAACAATCCCAACTTCGAAATGCGAAATTGTACCTTTAGTCGGGACAGAGATGCTTGAACGCCCGATAGATGAACGGATACATCCATTGCGTAGGATTGCTCGCGGTCGCCAGGCTGATGCAATAAATCCACAGACATCTTCACGCCTCCAATTCCAAATAGCATCGGGTCTACTAGTCCCTTCAATACACCACGGTCTGATGCACATATCCTGGTGTTCTCAACTCTGCACTCGAGCTTAAGTGCTCCGCCCGGTCGCACTTGTTTTGGTGGATTTGGCTCGGTCTCTAGCGATGATATCGATACAGGCGGTATACTCAACTGGAAAGCTTCGTTCACAAGAATCTCTGCACCAGCAGCTTTTACATGTAAGGTCAAGCTCCAACGTGTCCAGGGACCGCTCGAAGCAGATTCAGATTGTCCGCCAGCAGGCAATGAACTTGATCGTTCCCTAACAGGCAGATTCATTGTGATTCCGTCCACAAGGCTCAACACGACGGTGATCAGATGGAGCAAACTCTTCAACTCCAAGTGCAACGGGGCCAGTTGTACGTCAACAACAAATAGGCACTGTGAGCACGTGGCAGTGAGAAAACCTGGGTTCAGCAAAAAGATCGACAGTGTGCCTAGTAGCGGTACTTCTCGCAGTACACCACTCGACTTCTCTTGCTTAATGTCGAATTTGAAAAGCGGGGAGGCAAAATTTTCGTCCCGAAGCGTAATTGGGGCAGCACCACCTTGAAGTATGCAATGTCTTCCAGGCATCTTGGTTATACAGGCGCTTATCGAAGCAATCACTCCGCTTATCGATTGGTGTTGAGCCATCGCTAACCGAGGTCGATGCGAGACAGACCTGGATAATGCAGCTCTGCACATCTCAATTCGAAAAGCGTTTTTGGACGTTTTTGAACCACCATTCCACGTGATCGGGTATCCGAGAGTGCTTGTAATGCCACCTACCACTTTCGCAACAGCCTCTATCTTGGACGAGCTCAGGTCAATCATAACTTTGTCTAGACTCACGAACTGTCCATCGCTATCACCACCGTCAGTCGAATTTGCAGTAACAAGTAACTCGAACCCCAGTACTTCCGCCAGTGGAGTCGTTACTGTTCGTTGTGCCTCCAGATAGGCAGATACAGCGCCAAGCTGGAGTCGACTCTTACTGCCACCTGGATAATAGGATACTAGCCACACGAAATCGCGTCCAGTTAAAGTTACACCACCACGTACACTAATCTCTTCTTCGCCTTGCAAAGGCTTTTCTCGTACATCAGGTAACTGAATACGGACATTGCTCACCGTAACCAACTTGATGTCACTTTGTACGATAAACTGGATACTGGGGGGTGCATTTTCAGTAGTTGCTGCAGAAACTTCGTTTTCTGCTTCGCGATCACCTTCCTTTTTCTGCAAGATGATTGATACGGCTTCCAGTATCTCCACACACTTAGGAGGATCCAAGACTGCTTCAGCCTCACCAACAGATATATCCAACACCTTCGAAACGGCTTCCTTTCTCACATCAACGTCCAATTCATCATCAACAACCCGAGTCGACGTTGATGTCAACCGCAACCGCAAGGCCGAATGAACGCTTCGATGTCGAATATTGGCGGATCCCGTTGATGGGTGAAGTGAAGCGGCCGAGCAGGAATGCATGGTGTAACGCAAAAACAGAGCATTAAGTTGTGGCTCCAGCAGCTGAGTGAGATTATCTTGGGCACCGAGATCTGGGTTGCGGTGGGCTCGGTATTCATCCGCGATCGAGGTTAGAGCACGTAGTATTCCCTCCGAAATTGAGACAGGAAAATTATTTGATGCCCATGCTGTCGACACAGCGTTTGATAAGATTCCTCCATCAAGCACTCGCTCCTTAATACCAATAATCTTGGTGGCTTGCTGGCAAATTTTGGACACTTCACCAATCGGTATGCAGTGGATAGTTTCACCATTCCACGCCGTAGCGCAATCACAGGGAACCCCCCTGCTTTGATTCGAGTTATCCTCGCTAAGCTCCAGCGTTTTCCAAACCGGAATACCCGCATCCAGACTTACTTTGACGATTTCAAAACTGCGTGTTTCACGTTGATTCAGCCGTGTCGTCTCCTCTCCAAAAAATGAATTAATAAAGTACGGGTGCGATACACAGTCGGAGAAACGTGAAGAATCAATCGACCCCCATGTCAGTAGTTCCTTGCCCTTCTTGCACTTGGAGTCATCTCGGTTCTCGCTAGCCGTAGCCGAAACAAGCTCCACCTTTTCAATTTCAAACACCAGATCAGATCCGCTTTTCTCCTCACCTCTTGCCAGCAACATTTCCAGTGCTACGTAGCTCATTGTCAAGTTCAGAACAGGCACCGCTGGCCGAGCAGTTTTTCTTCTCCTTGTTTGCCGAGAAACCTTCACCATGCCGATATTTGCAACTGGAACCAGCTCCTCTTCGTTTTCAGCTACTGCACCGTCTTGCTGCTCAGCTTCTTGTTCTAGTTTTTCGTGCTTGCGTAGTGTCAGCGAAGCCGAGCTGATACAAAGCCGCACACAGGACGTTTTCGTAACAGGACCACTCGCAATCAACGCGTCTTCGTCAGCATTGCTCGCCGGGGGCTGGACTTTTAGCAATGCCCCTCTCGTTTCAGCGAGCAGCTCCGACACTAGTTCATCTTCCTCCTCATCCCCGGCTGTTCCCAGAGCCTTCATCGCCCAACCAAACCAAGACTCGCGCTTCTTGGCCGTGCCATCGATCTTCTGGTCTTCACTTGGAGCTTTACGAGGAATTACGGCAGGCAAACTAGCAACAGGAACAGGTCCCACTTTACTACCACGGCCCAATTCATCACGAGGATGCTTTGCTTGCGGGGCTAACTCACGGGCTTGGTCAATCTTGGTGCTCGCGCTCTTGATAAGTTGGTTCAGCATATCTAATTGTCTATCGCTGACCGAGAAGAGCAGCTCCCCGATGAAAATGTCCACTTCGTACATGGGCTTCACGCTCGAACGATTGCACGAGTAGTAGTAGAAGGGGTCGCACATCACGGACGGCCTGTACCCAAACAATCCATCAACATCTACAATGTTGCCTTCGTCGTGCGTGTCATTCGGTGTAAAAGGTGGTTGATGTAATGGGGATCTCGGAGAGGTGGGTCTACTCCTGCGACCGTCTTGAAATTTTCCTGCCGACGCATTGAAGAACAGCTGCAGCTTGGCTCGGACCGAAGCAGACGTTCTGCTGAGCACAGGCACCTCGTAGCCGACCACTTTCCGACGTACTCGGTCCTGTGTGAAGCCTTCAGTAGTGTCGCCATCACTGGTATATCGATCGAGGAAAATCGTCACGTCCTTGGCGTCAATCCGCTTGCAGACAGCTCGGCGTCCTCCTCCAAGTTCCTCGAAGCTGCGCTTCCACCCGTCGCTCTCACTGGCAGAATAGAAATCCAGAGTCTGTCAACACGAAACACAAATAAAAAAATACAAAGTCAATTCTCCCTACAAAATGAATAAATAAAATAAATAAATAAAACCCACCCCGAGGGCGATCGAGAACACGACGTCGTCGTGCTCGTACTTGAGCACGAGGTTGTTCACCTGCACGCTGACGTTGGCCAGGATCTTCTGCAGTGTGTCGTTTATCCAGCCGGACTTGGGCTGCTCGATCTTGTCCTCCGGCGGGGGCGGCGGTGATGATGGTGGTGCATCGACGTCAGCTCCAGCTCTAGTTGCGGCCCTGGGCGTGGCCTGCTCGTCGCCACTCTTGGCCGTGAGGATGAGCTCGATGGTGTAGAGCTTGACCTCGATGGGCTGCGACAGCAGCTGCGTCCACGGGATGTGGATGCGCAGCTCCCGGATGAAGCCGCGCGAGAAGTCGAAGCTCGAGGGGATCTCGAGGCTCTCGCGCAGCACGTGGCGCTTGATCTCGAGGTCGTTGAGCACCAGGTCCCCGCCGAAGAGCCCCAGCCCCTCCAGCTGGATGTCCTCGATGTACTTGCTCAGGTAGAACTGCAGGTTCTGCGCGATGTAGCCGCGCAGAGGCGACAGCAGGTCCAGCATGGCCGCCGTCCGTCCACCGCAGTTCCGCACTGGCGCCGATACGACGATACGACACGTAGGATGTAGTAGATGAAACAGTGAGTTTTGGCCAATCACTGCGCGCCAAAAAGGAAAGTTGAAGTGGACATGGCTACACTGTGCAACCCCACCGTGTACAAAGGCAATGAACGATGTCCTCGACGCGGGGTTAGATGCAATGGGATACAGGAATGCTATTTTATATCAAACGCTACGGGCTTCAAGCCTCGTAGCTCTATGTTGCTGTTTCTCGACATTCGCTCAGTCGAAAGTCGGCTCGTCGCTCCACTCGCCCTCGGACCACCACATCTCCGTGTCCGAGTTCGCCTCAGACGCAGGATGCCGCCGCCACTCGGAGCCGTCGTAGTCCTCCACCAGCCCGTACTCGTCGTAGCCGTCGCTCTCGTCCATGAGACTCAAGCTGGTCGACATGCTCTCCGAGCCGCTCGACACGTCCTCGCCGTCCGAGTCGTGGATCGCGAACCACTGCAGCTGCCGCTGCACAATGTCAGCGTTTCCGACGCACTCCTGCAGCATCTCGTCGACGATGCCGTCGTGGGCAAACGGCTCCTGCCCAAAGTTCACGTGGATGGCGTCCGACGAGTCCAGACCCACAGCAGGGAACCACTGCTCGTGCACGCACTCCATCGTACTGTTCTCTTTGTCGATCCGCTCCCCGTTGTTGGTGAACATGACGAAGGAGCGTCCGTCGCGCACGTTCCGCCGCACGCCGCAGCCGATGGTGTCGTTGGCTCCGAAGGCAGGGCCGAACTGGCGACCCCGGTTGGAGTGGAACATCTGACCGTCGTCGCCATGGTATCCGTAAGAGCGGAAGTCCCAGCCAGGCTGGCGATCCACAAGCGGGAAGCGCGACGTCACGAGGCCGATCGACGTCACGTCCTCGCCGTGCACTCGTCGCGCCGAGGGCTTGACGCGCTTGGTGATGGAGATCTCGAAGTAGCCGCTGGAGACGACGCCCACATGGTACTCGAGCGCATTCGTCTGCAGGTTCCTCCGCTTGAACACGGCCACGTGGAACGTCGTGGGGAACGGTACGTTGGAGCGCACGCAGCGGTCGTCGCCCAGGATGTCGCCGTCGAAGCCGAAGTGCACCACCTCATTCGCCTTGACCGGTTGCGCATGAAGGGACGCGACACTGAACAGCAGACAGCAAAAGCGTTAGTGAATGGTTAACCAAGGTTGACTGTAACCGCAACAACCAACATCGCCACGTACTTTTGCTCGAGCGCGAGGCTGCCTCGGTAGTGGCGTGTCTGCTGGATATCTGCGTAGGCCGGCAGCGGTGTGACTGCGTGCGCCAGCAACTGGTACATGCGGCTCTCGCTCACGGAGCTCGGGAAGAGCTTGCGCAGCTGCTCCGAGAGCACGAGCGGCACGGAGCCGTCACGTGCGCCGGGCAAGCGGAAGTTGAGCGTCTCCCAGCGGTGGCAGAAGAGCGCCTTCCACACGGGGAAGCGCGGCAGCACAGTGCGCGCCGTGAACTTGGAGGCGCACGTGAAGGCCTCGACATCGCGCGGCGCCGCAAACGACAGCAGCTGCGCCACCAGCTCGTCGTCCAGCGCGTGGATCGGTGCCATCTTGAAGGTCTCGCTCAGAGGTGTCGGGGGTATGGGGATATTGAACTAATGGATGAATGACCTGGAAGTCTGCGTCTCCAGGCCTGGAATTCGTTGGCGGCGACAACGACACGACGCGGTGCTTCAGTTTTATGCATAAGTCCGGTGAACCTAATGGCAAATCCCTCTTAACTGTCGTAAATGTCTTAAGTAGAGGAATAGCCGTTACGTCACCATCCTATTTTTTGTCAACTGTAGGCACACCATCACCTTTAGACAATAATAAAATATGTGACAAAGCTGTGAGGATGTGCTGCACACGATTGGCCGTCAAAGTTCGCATAATTCAGTACCTAAATCCAAGGACCAAAGTTGAAGTTGGCCGATATAGCTCTCAACCAGCGCATGCGAGGCGCGTACAGGTAGCAACCTCAGTAGAAGAGATTTTATTTGGTCTACTATGGTAGCCATTAAAATCCTAAAGAAGATTTCATCATCACCACCAACGGTGATTCTCTTGGTATCTGCATGCTGCTTACCCGTGCTTGTCCTGGTTGCTCGAGGATTAATAGAAAACTGTCAAAACAGTCCTCCATCAACCTGCCTTGTTCTACCGTTTGGGGACACGACTTGTCCCTCCTTGCTATCGCCTTTAACTGTCGAACCCCTGTCACCCGGAACTCGACACAACTTTTCTCCGCCGATGTTGATTCTCCTTCAAAGATGAGCCTGTTGCGCTGCATCCATTGCGTTGTGCTGCAAACAGTTGCTAAACTTCTATAGCTCAAGCGAATCTGACACTGAACTCTCAGGTATTGAGATGTGTTAAAAATCGTGCCGCGCCTGTGACGTCGGCGACGCGGCAGATGGATACAAAAAATCGGGGGTGCGTGGCATCAACCAACGGCAACTCGGCAACAAGGTCAATCACGCGATGTAAGTGCTGCCATTCTCTACGATATCAACGACGGGCGGGCCCACGGCCTGCTCTTGCTCTCTCGCCGCGGGGCCAACCCAAAGCAGCAGCTGGTCTAGCTAATAAACGCCTTCACCAGCGACTTGGCGGTGCACGGGCCGGCGGATGTCATGATCGGCTCGCCCTTGTACGTCGCCACGCACTTGTCGTCGGTGAGGAAGTCCGGCGAGACCTTCTCCAGCACCTTCTGCTTCTTGACCTGCGCCGCCGACACCGGCTCGCCGCTCTCGGACGCGACCGTCACGCGCTCGCCCACCTTGGCGTCGGCGGGGGGCTCCACGAACTGCACGTTCTCGTGGGCCTCGTCGCACGCGCACAGCACCATGCCGTGCGACTTGAAGCCGCCCAGCTTGGCCGGCTTGAGGTTCAGCAGCACCAGCACCTTGCGGTTCTGCATCTCCTCCAGCGAGTAGAACGGCTGCAGGCCCGAGGCAATCTGCTTGGGCTCCTCCTCACCGATGTCAATCTCCTCGCAGTACAGCTTCTCCGACTCCGGGTGCTTCCACACCTTGGAGATCACGCCGACGCGGATGTCCAGCGAGGCGAAGAGCGGCGTCGCGACCTTCTCAGGCTTGGCCTTCGCGGGCTTGGCCTTGGCAGCGGCCGCCTCACTCTGCTTCTGCTTCTCCTCCTCGGTCAGGACCTTGTTGAACAGGATGTCGCCGATCGACACCTCAGTGCCTGGCTTCAGATTGTCGTACTCCGGGGACAGCGCCGTCAGCGTCGTCGGGGCCGTGCCGAGCTTCTGGAAAATGATCTTGGCCGTCTCGGGGATGATGGCGCTCAGGTAGTGAGCCAGCACGTAGATGGCCTCCAGACAGGTGCGCACAACCACAAGGCGCGGCTCGCTCTCTTTGATGTGCCACGGAGCCTTGTCCGTCAGGTACTTGTTGGTTTCCTTGAGCGCGTTGACGATGGCCAGGCAGGCGTTCTGCAGGGCAAAGTCCTTGTACGAGTCCTCCGACTCCTTGAGCAGCTCGTAGATGTCGAACGGCTTGTCCGCCTTGACGTCGGGCACAACACCGTTCGAGTACTTCTTACAGATGTTGACAGTGCGGTGCACAAGGTTGCCCAGGGTGTCCGCCAGCTCCGAGTTGTGGATGTTGATGAGGTCGTCCTCGGAGAAGGGCATGTCCTGGCCGAACTTGGCCGAGCGCACGATGAAATAGCGGAACGATTCGATACCGTACTTGCCAATCATCTCGTACGGGTCAACGACGTTGCCCACGCTCTTGCTCATCTTGGAGCCGTCCTTGGCGTTCACGAAGCCGTGCGCGAACACGCGCTTGGGCAGCGGGATCTCCGTGCTCATCAGGATGCAGGGCCAGATGACGCAGTGGAACCACGTGATGTCCTTGCCGATGATGTGCACGTTGGCGGGCCAGTAGCGCGAGTTCTCGCCGTCCGGGTAGCCGATGGCCGACAGGTAGTTGGCCAGCGCGTCGAACCAGACGTACAGCACGTGCTTGGGGTCGTTGAGCAGCGGGATGCCGTGCGTGAAGGTGTTGCGCGAGGCCGACAGATCCTGCAGCGGCTCCTTGAGGCGACGCAGCAGCTCCTGGCGACGCACCTCGGGCTGCAGGAACTCGGGGTTCTCCTCGATGTGCTTGACCAGGCGGTCCTGGTACTTGGACATCTTGAAGAAGTACGACTCCTCCTGCATCTTCTTGAAGGGCGTGCCCGTGGTGGGGTCCTTGTAGTTCGTGAGCTGGGCCTCCGTCTCCGTGACGAAGGTCTCCTCGCGCACGTTGTACCATCCCTCGTACTTGCCGAGGTAGACGTCGCCCTTGTCCAGCGCGCGCTGGAAGAGCCACTGGGCGAACTTCTTGTGCACGTCGCTCGTGGTGCGGATGAAGTTGTTGTTGCTCATGTTGAGATCCTTGGTGAGCTGCTGGAAGATGCCGGCGTACTTGTCCACGAGCTGCTGGGGCGTGACGCCCGCGGCCTCGGCCGTCTGCGCGATCTTCTGGCCGTGCTCGTCCGTGCCCGTGAGGAAGTACACGTCGCGGCCGAACACGCGGTGGTAGCGGCTGATGACGTCCGAGCACACGTTCTCGTAGGCGTGGCCCATGTGCGGCAGGCCGTTCGTGTAGTGGATGGCCGTCGTGAGGTAGAAGGTCTCGCGCGCGGGCTTGGCGGCCGCCACCTTCGACTCCAGCGCCTCCACGCGCGCGTCCTGCTGCTGCTGCGCCACCTCCAGCTTGTCCACGCGGGCGGCGAGGTCCGCGGTCGTCGACATCGTCTTGCTTGCTTGGTTGATTCGCTTCTGCTTGGCTCGGCAAATCCCTTCCCCCTTGACCACGAGCATGTTCTGGCGTCGCGCGCGTCTACTGGCTGAAATGCGGCTACTGTTACGCATCACCATTGGGCAATAATGCACGCGTGACAAGTTCGAATTCGCCCGCCAAAATAAATAGCATAAGCAGCCAGTACCACCCGTCCGGTACAAACTGCTCATTCCGCATACGGAGATCTGTGCTGCGTACCTGCTCCGTAGTTTTCCGATCCGCAGCCGTCAATTTTCCCGCGCGAAATCCAAAATTCGCGCTTGCGCCGCGTCTCGCACTGCGCAAGTCAATAGCAGCGGCGACCATGGTGCTGCACGGCGGCAGCTCCGCCTCGCTCTCGAGCGTCGTAGTGGCCACAGACAAGCGCGGCATGACGCACAGCCACAGCAACAACAGCAGCATCAGCAGCGGCGGCAAGCTGGAGGACCCCAGCTCCTTCGGCTCCATGCTGGACCAGCTGCACGCCGAGCAGAAGGGCACGATCGAGGCGCTCACGTGCCAGGTCGAGTTCTACCGCCAGCGCGAGGAGCGCGCGCGCCAGGAGCTCGTCACGCTGCGGCGCTGCCTGCCGCTGGCCAAGGACGACGAGGGCGCCGCCTTCGCCTCCGTCGCCAAGCTGGCGGGCGAGAACCGCGCGCTGGGCGACGAGCTGGACGCGCTGCGCGCCAAGAAGAGTGCCTGGGACCGGGACCGTGCGCGCCTCGAGCGCCAGAAGAAGGAGCTGGAGCGGCAGCTCAAGGACGCCAAGCACACGCTCGCGGGCTTCTCGCAGGCCATCGAGCAGCTGGAGATCAAGATGCAGCGCAAGGACGCGGAGGTGCAGACCCGGAGCCTCGAGCTCGAGCACGAGCTGCGCGACAAGACGCAGGAGTGCGAGCAGCTCGAGCAGGACAAGGCGGCGATGCAGCAGCAGCTGCAGAACCTCCAGACCGCCAGCGACGAGAACTCCAGACTGCGCGCAGAGCTGCAGGCGCTGCTGCACAACAGCGCAGGACGCAGTTTCAGCGAATGGCCCAGCAGCTCCCGGTTCTCGTCGGAGATCAACAGCATTAGCGAGAAGCTGAGCCGCCTAGAGGATGACAAGCGGAGACAGGACGCGCAGATCCAGGAGCTGCAGCAGAAGCTCGCGGCGTCGGCGGTCGAGGTGTCGGCGGCTCAGCTCGAGATCGAGCGCAAGAATAGCGAGATCAAGGAGATGCAGCTGAAGCTGGACAACTCGACCAACATGCTGACGCTCCGAGAGCAGTTGCTGGCATCGGACGACAGCTCGAGAAAAGAGATCGAGGCGCAACGCCAGGAGCTGATGACGCTGGTGGCGACGCTGCAACGCGAAAAGGGAGACCTTCAGAACGAGATCTCCAGCCTACACAGGGATCAAGCAGCTACCAAGGCTGAGCTGCAGACCGCAAAGTCCCGCCTGTCCACGAAAGATCACACGGTGCTGGTGTCGACGTTGCGCACAGAAGTGGCGTCTGTTAAAGAGCGACTTCGCAGCGAGTTCATTCACGAAAAGGACAACTTGAAAGCCGAAACGCAGTCGTTGAAACAGGAGATCACGTTGCTGCGGGGACGCTTGGCGGAGAAAGATCTCGCTGCCCGGGGGCTCGAAAGCGAAATCGTGCGTAGTGATGAGAAGCAGAGGCAAGCAGAGTACGACATCCGACAGTTGCGCGAGCAGATTCACCGACTGGAAACGGAGTTAGAGCAATCCAGAACAAAGTACCAGCAGCTTCAGCAGTGCCGGACGTCGCTCGCGGAACAGCTTGACTTTGGGTTTAAGGAGCTGCTCCATGACGAAGAGAGTGCGGCGTCTGCTCACGAAGAACTGGAGAAGCTGCGGGGTGAACTTGGACGTATTAAAAAGGAGAATGCTGCTCTGGAAGCCGACCTGCACACAATGACGGGGGATCTGGAGCGCGCCGACCGTCTCAACCGAGATTCTGTTACTCGTCAGAACGAGAAGAACGATGAACTGTACCGCCAACTCATGGAGAAGGAGGAGAAAATTTTGTCTCTAAAGAACGCTGAGCGCCAGGTGGCATTGCTACAGCAAGAAAAGGAGTCGTGGGAGGGCAACGTCACCGACATCCGCTTGCGCTGTGAAAGCCGAGTGGAATCGGAAGTTCGGAAAGCCGATGGACTTCGCTCGCGGATTGAGCAGCTGGAGCAGGATAAGCTGTCCCTGAAGCAGCAGATCGATGCTCTCGAAGATGAAGGAGCCAAGTGGAACGAGAAGATGCACATTTCCGAAATCTCACTGCGCCAGAAAGAGCAAGAGCTGGAGGAGCTTCGGCGCGATTTCTCTCGGGTTGAAGCCGAGCTGGCTGCCGCTTCCCAGTCCGTTGAAAGTGGGCGCCAAGAGATCTCAAGCCGTGAGCAGAAGCTGCTGAAGGAGCGAAAGAAGATGGAGCGTGAAATGATCCAGCTGGTTAATCGCATTGAAAGCGCGGGCCAGCGCAACTTCGAACTCGGCGAGAAGGTCATTTCTCTCGCCAAGCAGTCCAAGGTGGATCAAACCGAACTCGTGGCCTTGAGCTCACAGGTAAAGTGCTACAAGGATCAGGTCAAGACCCTGGAGTCCCAACTCGGGCAGATCCACCGTCGCAGTGGTCAAGACTCCGACACTGTTCGTGATCTCCAGCGTAAACTAAGTGACGTCACTTGTCTGAAGGAGAGCTACCAAGTGGAAATCAACAAGCTGCGTCAAATGCTGGAGCACGTACAGAGCGACTACAGCGTGGCAAAGCAGCAACGCGACGAGGCCGTGAAGCGCGTGCGCGTCCTCGTGCAGTGCCGCGACGACATGAAGGCGACAGTCGAGGATCATACAGCAGAGCTGGTTGAGGAGATCGAGGCGCTACAGCACCAAATGGACAACGAACGCAAACGCTGTGCAGTCCTGCTGGCGAACGAGAAGACGCTACTGCGCGATATCCAGGAGCGCAACACTGCCATCACGAAGCTGCAGCGCACGCTTTCGACGCTTCACAAGCAGGTCGATGATCGATCGGCCAGTGATCGGTCTAGCAGTTCAACTCCTACCAGGCGGAGGCGGTCTCATAGCAGTGGCACTAGCAGTCCAGTGAGCAGCAGTCCGACATCCACAGTCCCCACGTCCAGTTCGCTTTCACCACATCGCCACCATCGCCGACACTCTCATCAGCAGCAGGCACAACAACCGCAGCAGCAGCAACGGCTCCAGTCGAGCTCGGTGTCGAGTAACGCATCCAGCATGACACCGGCGAAGGAGATGGAGCACCTGCTGAGCAACCTGGAGCGCATCTCGGACTTCTCGGCGCAGGTGCAGCAGCTCCACCCGTAAGTTATTGTAAATGATAGTCATTCGTACAAGCACTTGCTGATGAAACTTGTAACAACGAGCGAGTGCATGAGGGTCTCCGATCTTGCAAAGGCTGAAGTTGACGTTGTCGCTTCGCGTTAGTCGAGCGTCCAATTGTGCCGCTGACGTCGCCGCTTGTCTCCGACGATCCTGCGAGCGCAAGTCCAGTCGTGCGCTCGATGAAGCTGTGGGCCACGGCTGTCTTGCTGCTCGAGCGCGCACCTTGCTCAGCTCCAGGACGCAACGAGAACCGGTTCATTGGCATCAGCTTGGACCGGCATTTCGGAGCAATGTAGCAGCAGCCAATCGCTCGCGTCGAGATCTCCGCTCGGTGTCGCACACGCTCACGTGCGCACGTGCTGGTATAGAGATCTAGCAAGCGAATCGAGTCGAAATTATGAGCTGCGGGGGCCTCCGAGAATGTCAGGAGCGCGCGCTGCAGCTAGAGTAGCAGCGCCATTGGCGCTCGCCATCGCCGCCGCCGCAAGAATTGCTGCTGGTGGCGGATCACTTGAAGTGGGTCGTTGGCCACGTCACTCGGGATTTTTTTCGCTCGTCGTAGTATGGCGTGTGTAACGGTCGTCGCGCATACAAAACCCAAGCGTAAATTGTGTTTGGTTTGTGTAGTAAACAGCAATACAGTTTTCAAGTGTATATTATGTACGTTTTGTGTACCCAGTGGTTTTTCGTAGCCTGAGGAGCCTGAGTTGTTCCGTCACAATTGGATCGGCGTCCAGAGGCAGCAGCAGCGGCAGTAGACGACGGCGAGCACCATGAGCGACGAGCACGCGGGCGACGCGCCCGACTGGATGCAGGAGCAGGCGGCCGAGTACCAGGACCTGGTGGGCAGCTTCGTGGAGTCCGTGGTGGACTCGGACACGGACGAGATCCTCGAGTACCAGCTCATCTGGGAGGGCGGCGACCTGGGCGTGGCGCTCACGACGCTCGAGGGCGAGGACGGCGGCGTGGCCGTGAGCCGCGTCACGGGCAAGGGCTTCCCCTTCGGCATCAAGAACGTCGGGCCCGGAGACCTGCTGCTCTCCATCAACATGAAGGACACGACCAAGATGACGCTGGACGACGTCGTGGCCTACCTGCAGGTGTGCGACCTGCCGGCCACGCTGCGCTTCAAGAAGCTCTCGCCTGTCACCGACAGCGCGCCGGTCTCGGTGCCCAGGAAGAGCACGTACGTCATCACGAGCGCCAACCAGGGCCCGACGAGCCCCATGGGCTCCTCCGCCCCTCCGTCGTACCCCCGCGGCTCTCAGAGGGGCTCCACCAAGTACACGCCGCCTCCTCCTGCGGCGCCGGGGCACCCGGACCGCTCCTCCATGCCCGTGCACAAGACGCCGTCGGACTTTCCAGAGCCGCCCGCGCCGCCTCAGCGCCAGAGCGCCAAGGTGCCGGCCACCAAGACGATGATGGACTCGCCGCCGAAGCCAGCGCCGAAGCCTGCTCCCGAGCCGGTTGTGTTTGCTGATGAACCTGCGTATGAGGAGGAGCACCACACTGCGTCCAAGCTCAGCTCTCCACACAAGTCGCACAAGCAGCCCGTTTCGCCGCGCGAATCTGCACCGGAAGAGAAGCTCCGTGAACTGGACGGCCTGGTGCTCACGTCAGGTGTGAATGACCTGGGCTTTGAAGACTCGGAGGACGAGTCTGTGCGCGCTTCTCGTGAGTCGCGGGACTCCTGGCGTGAGGAGAGCTTTGACGTCGACGCCAACCACGATGATGACGGCTGGAAGATCGACGAAGAGGAGAAGGAAGACGTCCACGAGAAGAAGGACAAGCGCAGCAAGGCCAAGGAGAAGTTCCAGCGGGACAAGAGCGGCTCGACGGTGGCGATGCTCGGTCATTTCTCGGTGGAAACGAACGCGGACGCCGTGCCGATCTTGCCCGATGCGGAAGAAGCTACGGGCATCGCTGCGGTCGATAACGTGAGCGATTTCACCCCGATTGACCATCCTGCGGGCCCGCACACCAGCAGCCAGATGCGCCAGTCCGACGTTTCCGCAGGCTCGATGGTGTCTTCGCTCAACTCTTCCATGAACAGCACCGATGCGCCTCGGCCGTCGGTGCGCGTGACGATGGACAGCACGGCTCCGATTATGAAGAGTCACCCGATCGGCACGCTACACGAGATGTGTGCGAAGGGCAACCTGCGCGGCGTGGTGCAGCACCTGCGTGTGGACGGCCCCGAGGCGCTGTTGAACCGCGAGCCGAACCACGGCCAGACGGGCTTGCACCTGGCTGTCAAGAGCGGCAAGGTGCCGCTGGTGAAGGTGATTCTGGAGCAGTTCAAGCCGGTGGAGGATATCATCAACGTCGAGGACGACAAGGGCAACACGGCGCTGCACTTCGCCGCCACCAAGACGCCGACCATGGTGCACTTGCTGCTGGAAAACGGCGCGAGCGCCAACGTCAAGAACAACCGCAAGTTCACACCGCTGATCATCTCGGTGATCACGTCGAAGGATGACGGAGTGATCATCCCGCGCATGCTGCTCAAGTTCGGTGCCAACCCCAACGACATGCACGACAGTCAGACTGTGATTCACACGGCCATCGGCACCGGGCGCTTGAACATCGCTGGCGCGCTGGTGCGGGCTGGCGCCAAGATGGACGTGGAGGACGCAGAGGGCAAGAGCGTGTTCGAGAAACTGCCCCGCAAGGACCTGCGCCTGCTGATCTCTCACATCTACTTCCCGCCCACGTACATCACGCGCAAGGAGCGGTCCGAGTGCATGCTGTGCCACCAAAAGTTCAAATTCGGCCACCGCGAGTATAACTGCACGCACTGCGGACGCCTCTGCTGCGCCGAGTGCTCCGCGCTGCACGTCGAGATGGTCAAGTTCCCCATGGGTTTCCCCGGCCGTACACGCCGAGGCGCCGCGAACCGCGACAAGAAGCGCGTGTGCAAGACCTGCTACAACGTGTTCAAGGAGCGCAGCAACGAGCCGGAGAAGAGCGACATGAGCAAGTTCATCAACCGCGTTATCAACATCGAGTGGGACGAGGTGAACCCGGAGAAGCTGCTGAAGGTGGAGGAGCCTGGCCGTCGCGGCGAAAAGTGAGGAGACGACGTAGAAAGCAGCCCAAGCGACGGACGAAGTGGTTGATAGACGACGCCGTACAAAACAAATCGATAATCTTTGTGATTTTGTTTTTGCTGATCTTGGTCTTGCCAGCGGATACTTTCGCTCAACTGGTCGACAGTTGCACGGCACCCGAATTTTCACCTCACCCGCTGCATGTACACTGTACACGGTGCAGTACACATGCAGCGTGGAGACCACAGCGATGGAGCGATGGAGCTGCGGTGAGCTAGGGGCGGCAGCAGCAGGTAGCTTTTCTACCCGATCGGGTTTGCTGAACACGCCCGATGGAACTTGAAGTGTGGGTTTGCACAATGCAGCACCGAAAATGGACGTTAAGCAACATTCGTGTTCTGCTCGCGCGGCTGCTGCCTTCTGGCAATCTCGTGTGCTAGGTGGTGGTATCTGTGGCAAGACAGCGAAAATCGGCTAGGCTTATTCAAACTGCACACAATACAGCACACAAAATCAACTGCAGCATCAGAGAATGCGCAGAGCTTACGCGATACCTGCACTATTCAAAGTGTTTACAACTTTGTACAGTGCCTGCAACCGGTGAGTTAGCAGTCGCTGACGTCTGTGTAGTCGCTGATGTAGTCGCTCATTTTCGAGGAAGCTCCAAAACCCGCATATTTGAGTTTCAAATTCACAAAACCCGCATAACGCGTCGAGCGCGCCGCTTATCCCTAGGAATCAGATGCCGGTATGCGGGTTTTGTGGAAGTATGCAGGTTTTGTGGATTTGAAACTCAAATATGCGGGTTTTGGAGTTTCCTCCTCATTTTCACCGGAACTCGTCCAAAGTCTGGCAAACCAAAGAGGTTTGGATTTCCAAGCAACCATTTGTACAGTTGGATCGAACGAACATTAGTAACTGCCCATTTGGAGTCCGAGTGCCATATTCGTACTTATGTGGATCTAGAATGTGGTAAATCGATCGACAACCGCAATCACATCTAGTACGGAAGCTCACTGCTTACAGTTACAGATGACCACGGAAAAATACGCCAGCACTGACCACTATCCTCCATAGTAAACAGGTAGCTACCAAAAAATACGCCAGTTGAGCTGATTGGTCAAAAGTGAGGTCTTAATCCTAGAGAAAGGTCAATAATGTAGAAAAAAAAGGAAGTTACGGTCGTGACAAAGAAAAGGTGGAGTGTATTGGTATTGTTGTGGCTACAAGAATTCCAGAGCTTCAAGGAAGCGCCTTTTCAAAACTCTCAACTACAATGTCCTCATCAAGGCTTCCAGGCTATGATAGTGCGCTCGATAATATCAAGGCACTTTTCTTTTGCCGTTTTGGGGTTTTTGCGGTAAGCCCATGTACTGCGCAGGGCCGACTTCAGCGGGCCCATCACGTTTACGTCGAGGGGCTGGCAAGTGGACGTGGTGTTCGCTGGCAACGGGTCCACCACAGCGAACACTTTCCATGCCATGCTTCGCGGTGCTCTCCGTGCCAGTAATTTTTTGTAGTAATGGTTGGTAAGACATACGAGCTCGTGTTCGTCTGATTGGCTAAAATACAAACATTGTTTTGTATCGGATCAGAAGTCGGGACTTGTCGCATGGCGTATTTTTTGGTGGAGCGTATTTTTCCATCGTTATCTGTAGGTGAAAGCTCTCGAGCTTCTACGCATCGAGGTCTTATATTCTTGCTCAGTATAATAAGCAGCGTCTTCCATGCTGCCGTCGAAGGAGCTGCGCAGCTTTCGTCAAAATGGTACCTGCGGGACCAAACATGTGGCAGATGCCACAAATGCCCCGCTAACCCGAGCCCGAAAGTCGGAGCCGAGACAGATGGGTGAGGACTCATCGCAGCTGATGACTCGGAGCACCGGCATGACGCTCGACGCGCGCGGCGGCGACACAGCCACCGTTGTGCGCTCGCTCGCTCGCGTGCTTTCGCGCCAGCACCAACGCTTGGCTGCTGCTGGTTTCCTCTGCTGTCAGCGCGAGTGATTTTTGCTGTTTCGCAGAGGCGGAAAAGAGTTCGGTGCGCTGCTCGGCTGGCCTTTGTCGCCGGCTAAGACGAAGAATAAGCCTTGACAATCAAGTGCTTTTTTTCCGAGATCGGATGATGGTGTCGCAGCGCTGCGACCGACTACCGACCGTAGCGCATCTTCGTGACCGCGCTGCACTGCGAGGCAGCATGCAAGCACGCACTATGATGCCATTGCTCGCTCACTTTAGCGCTTCGACTGCCTGTATGGCCAACGGTAATGCTCGTCTCGGCCAGCGGGGAGCTCTGGGTCTGGCCGGCGACGGACGGCATAGGGAGGAATGGAGCGCAGTCGAGCGCAGCGCGCACGCGGAAAAGCCGGTCTTCCGATGGGCATTTTTGGCCAATGGGAGCACCGCAGTCTCTTTGCCGCAACTGACCCCCTCCGCGGTTCGACTGTGCGAGTCAGTTCTGGTTTTGAGGCGAGCGGAGACGACCGACGTGCGCTCCTCTTCACTCCTCGCAGCGGCGACCGAACGTGAGTGTCCTGGCCTGCAGGCAAGGAAGCGACAGCGCATGACTGGCTGGCAGGATGAAGCTCCTGCTGCCGCTAGGAGGACGCATCTGCTGACGCTGTTCACTCTGTTTGTTGTCTCAGTCACGCGGGACTTTCATTATAATAAGCGCTCGGCTGCATAGACGAGCGACCGACGTTGCAGTGCTGCCAACGACCCCGTACTCGCTTGCTCCACCGTTGCCCCATTGCCCCATTGGCCATGGCGCCCAACACCAACAGCAGCGCGGACGTGTGCGTCGAGGACGCGCGCAGCAGCCTCTCGCTCGACAGCTACGACGTCGGCGCCATCATGAGCCCGCGCGCCACCGGCAAGCACGACCCGGAGGACGTCGTCATCTTCTTCGACTGGGGTAAGCGGCCGCCGCTGTTTGTCTTCCTACTTGTTGCTGCTGCTGCTGGTTCTCACTGCGCTGCCTTCTTCTCTCTCGCCTCAGACGACACGCTCATGGCGTCGTCTGCCATCGCCAAGCTGGGCCTCTGCCCCAAGTACATTAATGAGGAGCCGGACATCCCCGACGAGGTGCAGGCCGAGCTCAAGGAGCTCGAGGAGTCCGTCGTGCAGCTGCTGGAGACGGCGCTCTCCTACGGCCGCGTGGTTATCGTGACGGCCGCCGAGACCGGCTGGGTCGAGCTGTCGGCGTCGCTCTTCATGCCGCGGCTCGTGCCGTTCTTCAACACGCGCATCAAGGTCATTTCTGCGCGCTCCACATACGAGTACCTGTACCCGGACTGCCCGCGACGGTGGAAGATTGAGGCGTTTAACAACGAGGTGTTCCCCGTATGGGAGTCGTACGGCGAAGAGAACTCGGCGGGCATCCCGCGGCACGTCATCTCTCTGGGTGACGGCCCGACGGAGCGCGAGGCGCTGATCAACGTCAAGATGCAGGCCATGGACGCGTGCCACGGCAAGTCCATGAAGTTCATCGCGTACCCGAAGATCAGCGAGCTGCAGCTGGAGGTGGAGCTTATCCTCGCCAACATGGAGCATCTGTGCACTCACGAAGGAGACCTCGACCTGCAAATCACGTGGGAGATGCTTAACGGAGGCGCATAATCGCCCAGAGCGCGCAGTTGAAGACGTGGTTGCAGTGTTGTGTCTTGCGCGCGATGCCGATGGCGTTGTCGAGTTACCGAGGAGTGTGCCGGGACGCGATGCGTGCTGGATGGCCGGTGCTGCTGCTGCTTGAACAATGTGGATAGATGTAAAGTATGACCGCGGGCCAAAAGACGTTTTTGGGAGGGCCCGACATTGAACAAGTGCCAAGAATCAGCCAAAGGTGATGACGATCGTGAACCAAGCTCACCAGCAGCGCGACCACGCAGCCAGCGAAGTGCAAGCAGATGAACGGAGGAGAGGGGAACCCGAGGAAGCGAAGGAGAAGACGATCTGGATGCGACGCTGACGGCGACCGGACTTCCACAAGATGACTGCCGCTATGCCAGCTACAACGGGAAGCACAGCGCCACTGCCACTTACTACCATTACTATCACCACTACGTACGTACATACCTATGCCCAAAGAAACCCAAGAAATAACTTATAGATAAAAACATGTACTTTGTTGTCGAGTCTGCAAAAGTTCTGCCTCCCATTGTAGTTGCTGCAACCGATAGAGCTAGTCCGCGTAGAAGCCAAACACCACGCACGTCGCCCAAATGTGTTGCTGCAATGCAATGATAAGTCAGTCAAACTCATGTAAGTTGGTCCTACTACTGCAATGGCGCGCAAACCAGTCAAGCAGGACGCACGCTGTTGAACACGGCCGAGGCGTGGTTGTCGTGGTCGTTGTCCCAGAGGCAGCGCGAGGTGATGCGGACGTCCTGCAGTCGCTGCTGGCCGATGAAAGACTGCACGACGATTTTGTAGCGCGGGAAGTTGCACTCGGCGTGGATGCGAGCCTTGACGGCGTCCGCGATGGCGGTGCTCCAGCCCTTGCAGTCGCTCTCGTCGAACTCCTTGCCCTCCAGCTCCTTGGCCATGCACTCGGAGATGATGTTGCACACCTTTTTGCGCCGGAAGCTGGCATTCGACAGACAACCGTCAGCAGAGCGGCTCGTTACATTCACGAGACTAGCAGCAGGCGTCGCACCGTTCGTCCTCAGTGGGGGCCATGATGTAAGTGGGCATAACCACCTTGATCACCTGGTTGGCCCGGCCGGGCGTCATCTCCGTGTCCGTCATTGTCTGCCTAGCGATTCCAATCTACGCCTGTAAATGCAAAGATCCGCGATTGCGACTCCTCAAGATCAACAGCCGGAAAACTAAACTTGGGGGGAATCGGAATGCCCTCAATGCCCCGAGTTCGCGCGGCAGAACTGATACCTTCAAACCCGCTGCACCAAGATCAAGATGCATGAGCAAGAACCCAAGCAGGAAGATGGAAAACAAGATGACCGGTTTCCATCGGACTTGCAGCATCGACGACCTGTTGATTTCGCTTCAATGCTGCCTGCCATTATGCGTGTACTAGTTCGGTGTCCACCCTATCCATCGCTTGCCTGCCGTAGTGCCGCCCCCTGCTCATTCATTGCGCTTCAAGATCCGAAGTATCCAACCATCCTGCACAGACGACCGCATGACGACTGTACCAACTCCGAGACAAGCAAGACGAGCGAACTCAAGCGAACGCGCCTAACAACACGGCGACGGACTTGACTGGTAATTAATTGCTGCTGTTTAGGGGCTGCTTCCACACCGTTCCCATCCCGAGGCTGCTAAAAAGTCGTCACGTTCTAGTTGCTGCTCGCGACGGCCGCCACCATGGCAGCGTGGGTGTCGACGCCGATCTGGGCGTTGAGCTTCTCCTCCGATCCCTCGGGGGCCGAGGCCAGCTGCGCCTGGTACTTGGTGAGGCCAGCCTGCGCCGCCTCCGGGTCGATGTCCTCCACCTTGACAAGCTCCACGCACGCGATGTCCGTGACCGAGTTGGCGTGCGTCAGCGCGAAGCCGCCGGCCGTGAAGAAGCTCTGCACGTCCTTCTCGCGCTCCACGTGCACCTTGATGACGCCGGGCTTGAGCTGCGCCAGCACGGGCGTGTGGCCCGCGGTCACGCCGTACTCTCCGATCACACCGGGGATCTGCACGAGGTCCACCTCCGCGTTCTTGTAGAAGGCCTGGTAGGGCGTCGTCAGGTTCAGCGTCACCTTGGTGGCCGTGGCGGCGGCCTGGTCGGCGGCGGCGGCCGACAGGCGCGACGACGTGTGCAGCGCGCGGGCAGCGAAGCGGCTCGTAGCAGACAGCATCCTGGTAGGTCTCTCTGGCTTTGGGGCTCCAAGCGTGAGGGGGCTTTAACAAGTGTGCGGCGAGGGGCGAGCGCGGATTCGCGCGATGTGATTCGCCCACAGATCCGTAATTACCCAAAAAGTTCTTACGGTAAAAACACCGCCGGACTTGAAAAAGATAACCTTCAGTAATTCAGTACTTAGTAGTTCATAATATAAAATATCATTCAGTAGATAACGAGTCTCCTATCGCTATACATTGTATATGCGGAGACGATAAATTCATCAATGTACATGTTCAAATCGACACTTCTGAAAAATTGTAATCCTGCTTTGCAAGACTTGTATTATAGACACTCCAACAACAACAAAAAGCTCGTATGCGCAGTATTAATAATTTGGCGAAAGGATCGTGTAAGTCGAAGATAGCTCTGTATATCTACCATTGAATGCTTCGTGTGAGCTGCAACAGTACCAACAATGGTAATGTGAAGTGCATTTTACTAAACACACTAATTTAAATTATTGGTTCAACTACACTACCAAAATATGTTATCAGTCGATAACATTACTCGTTGCAGCTCCATATGTACTGATATAGCTTCAATATTTTCAGTAGCTGTAGACTAATACGATCCTTGACTCGCTGTCTTCTCAATTTTGCATGGTCACTTTACTGGCCGACGAGGACTACAAGAGCAGAGCAGCGTGTAAGATCAAGAGGGTCATTTTGCGTTAATAGTCTCCTGATGCTTTTGCGTGACTACTCGATGGAATGCTAGCTAGATATTACAACTATATACAAGATGGGCCTGGGTTTCTGACGTGGTTGGGGGCGACACGGACCGCGTCCGCTCGATCTCCGCGGCGGAGAAGCCCCGCCTGCTCTCGCGCCGTCTGCAATCTCCACTCGAACAGCTTCAACTACTTGCGGCATCAAGCCACCGACCGAGAGCAGGCGTGGAAGCTCAACACGTATAGAAGAAAAAGACAAAGGAAGAGGCGCCCGCCTGCAACAACATCAGCCAGGCTCTCGGCGCCCCTCGCCGTCATCCATCCACGAGAGCTGCAGCCGATTTGCTTATTTCTTCTTGTGGTGCGAGCCGTTGGCCGAGTGGTCCTGCTGGGACTCACGCAGCGCCTCGGCCTTGGCGATCATGGCGTCACGGTCGAACGAGGCCTTCGGGTGCTTGCTCGTGTAGTGCTGCTCGTAAGACTTGATGTCGGGCGACGCGCTCTGTTGGACGGCAACAAGACAGAGGTCAGTAGGTATTCTTGTAGCTGCTGCTAGTGCTGCTTTATTTCGTTGTAGACGGGCGTACCATGCAGATATCGCACGTGAAGTTGAGCTTGGCGACGCCGCGGGTGGAGGCGCCGGCCTTGCCTCCACCCTTGTTCACCTGCTTCTGGCGGCGCTCAAGGTCCGCGGCCGTGTGCTTTTTGAACTTGGCCTTGCCGCCCATGCTGCTGCTACTCGGATTGCTGCTGGCTTCTCGCTGTCCTGGACTTCTTCTTGAGCAATGAGCCGTCCGGCTGCTAGGCTTATCGATTCCTGGCGGTAAAGAATGGAGGACAAGGACCGCACACGTCTCATACTCGGGACCGGTCCGGACCGCGCAGACCGCCTGTGAGCATACTTTGGGCAAGATAAAATTGAACTGATGTGGGCCACGCCAAAACGACGCCATCATTTCGGGGTCAGATCTTGAAGAGGTGCGGGCTAGATGCTGGTCATCGACGCGTCCGCGCTCAACACTGCCATACTGCAGCCAGCGGCCAGCTACAGCAGTCAAACACTGTTCTAGCTGTAGTCGTCGATAGCGGCAGCGATAGCCATGTTGATTCCAGAAGTCGCGACGGTGTGAATCGGTCTGTTGACCGTGGACGTAGTGTTGCGGGCCGCAACTTGCGGCGGTACTCTGATTGTCATCTCTGTCGGTCTTGTACTTGGACTGTTCGGCAAATTGGCCTCAAGGACGGATTGGCAGTTTATCGGTGGGCATAAGCGTCGAGATCGGTGAACTCGCAGTGAGCTTGCTCTTTTGAGTGGGGCCAGAGTGTTTGAATTCTGCTGTGCAGGCTGCTTACTTGAGTTCCTGCGCGTTGGTGCTCGTTCGAGTCTCGAAGACGGCACAAACACCGCTTCTCCTAAAGCCAATCATCAAATACTTCTGCGCTTGCGACGGATAACTTTGATCGCCAATAGCCAGGCTGGAATCTCGAGGAAAACTGGCAGAGTCCATACATCGTGCGAAGGGCTCGCTTCAAGGATTCCGTCACTCGCTCCGACGGGAATTCCTGGTAGTACAGCAGTCTGCTGCGCTAAACGCAATGTGCCGAGCGAATTCCCCCGCTGCGCCAGCGGCGACCTTGAAGTTGCCTTGCACTTCAACCAGGCCGAGCCTGCAGCATCGAGCGCTGCGTCATGTCTGACACTTCCCCATCGTCTTAGCAAAGTCTCTCTCAGCCACGGCATCTCGCTCGCTTCCCCCCGCTCCAGCCAGCAGTGCGGGGCCACGGCCTGGTACCATAATCGACGGGTTTGGTCGAGCGCGGTCATTGGCCGAAAGTGCGCCGTTAAACGTTGAGTACGCAAGGTCACAGGTTGAACCTCATCGTCGACTCCATCGCTGGCTGCTCCCTCATTACCGAACGCGCCGCGTCGAGCTCAGCTAGCGAAAGCCCCGCCCAGCCCCTCTCCCCTCCCACCCACACCCGCCCGCCATCGCCATGCCCAAGATCGTTCCTGGCAGCGACGGCACGCCGCTCAACGTGCTCGAGTACGAGGAGTACGCCAAGGAGTACCTGCCCAAGAACGCCTTCGACTACTACGCGTCGGGCGCGGACGACATGGTGACGCTGCAGGAGAACCGCGAGGCCTTCAAGCGGCTGGTGCTGCACCCGCGCGTGCTGCGCGACGTGTCCAACATGGACACGAGCACGACGCTGCTGGGGCATCGTGTGAGTTCCCCCGTGTGCGTGGCGCCCTCGGCCATGCACCGCATGGCGCACCCGGACGGGGAGATCGCCAGCAGTTCGGCCACCGCCAAGGCAGACGCGTGCTACATCCTCAGCACCATCTCCACCACGAGCCTCGAGGACGTGGCCGTCGCTAACAGCCAGGCCAACCCCAACGCGCTGCGCTGGTACCAGCTCTACGTCTTCAAGGACCGCGAGATCACGCGCGGCCTCGTCAAGCGCGCCGAGAAGGCCGGCTACAAGGCCATCGTGCTGACCGTGGACACGCCCATGCTGGGCCACCGCGAGCCGGACGTGCGCAACCGCTTCAGCCTGCCCAGCCACCTCACCATGGCCAACTTTGCCGCGGTGGGCGGCGAGCACGAGCACGGCGTGAACAGCCTCAAGGACTCGGGCCTGGCCCACTACGTGAGCGAACTCTTCGACCTGACGCTCAACTGGAACGACGTCAAGTGGCTCAAGAGCATCACCAAGCTGCCCGTGGTCGTCAAGGGCGTGCTCAGCCCCGAGGACGCCAAGATCGCCGTTGATATGGGCTGCGAGGGCATCCTCGTGTCCAACCACGGCGCACGCCAGCTCGACGGCGTGGCCGCGACCATCGACGCGCTGCCCGCGATCGTCCAGGCTGTGGACGGCCGCGCGGAGGTCTACCTGGACGGCGGCGTGCGTCGCGGCACGGACGTGTTCAAGGCCCTGGCGCTTGGAGCTCGCGCCGTGTTCCTCGGCCGCCCCGTTCTGTTCGGCCTGGCCCACAGTGTACGCTGTTGTTTATTGTCTGTCGTTGCAGTGCTGAGCCTGTGTGTCTAACTAACGGTGGTTGTTTTGTGTTGAACAGGGCGAGGCCGGGGTGTCCAACGTCCTCCGCATCCTGAACGACGAGTTGAGGCACGCCATGCTCTTCTCCGGTACCGCTAAGCTGGCCGACATTGGGTACGTGAGAGCCTAGGTTCTTGCCCTGTTGTCCTGCTCATCAAGCTCACGGTACTATTGTTGTTTGGTGCTATCTATGCAGCCCTGCGTACGTGCGTCGCGGTGTGCCCCCGCTTCCATCGTCGCTGTAAGAAGTGTGTGTTCTCAACTGCTCCTCGCTGGCGCTGGTTGCTCGCTCTGTCGATACAATACTCAAACTCATCCCTGCTACGTGGGCATGGCCTTACAACGGTATAACAACTCGTTCAACTTTGTCGTTACCCCCTTTGCCCAAGAAGAATACTGAATGCACTGTGATTCACTAACAAAGCAAGTATCGCGACTTCGTCTTTCATAGAGACGATGGGAGTGGAGGAAGTCCACGACGGACGTACTCAGGCCTTCAACAGGCAAAGTCAGCGCCACAGCTCCATGTCGAGAACCAAAAGTCAACCAAACGTACCCGATGTCAGCGAGGGAGGCGGTCCCAGAGAACAGCATCGCGTGCTTCAGCTCGTCGTTCAGAATGCGAAGGACGCTCGACACTCCTGCTTCACCCTGTTGTCACGAGCCAAACACATGAGTTGGACACCAATACAGAGAAACTCGTCAACTTGTCCACGTACGCTGTGGGCTAGGCCGAACAGAACGGGTCGGCCTACAAACACAGCACGAGCTCCGAGCGCCAGAGCCTGCACGATACAAGGACCATCAGCATTCGCGCGCCCATGAGTAATACCGAAGCTGAATCTCACCTTAAACACATCAGTGCCTCGACGAACGCCGCCATCCATGTACACTTCAGCTCGGTCGTCCACAGCTCGGACGATTGCAGGCAGTGCGTCGATCGTCGCCGCCACTCCGTCCAGCTGCCGAGCGCCATGGTTGGACACCAAGATTCCTTCACAGCCGCTCTCCACCGCCATCACTGCGTCCTCTGGCGTGAGAATGCCCTTGGCCACGATGGGGAGCTTCGTGATACTCTTGAGCCACTTGACGTCCTGCCAGCTCAGCGTCTGGTCGTACAGGTCGCTCACGTAGTCCGCGTAGTCCGTCGTGGCGTTCTGCGGCCCGAAGTTGGCCATCGTGAGGTGGCCGGGGATGCTGAAGTGGTTGCGCACGTCCGCTTCCCGGTTCCCCAGCACGGGCGCGTCCACCGTCAGCACGATGGCCTTGTAGCCGGCCTCCTCGGCCCGACGCACGAGTCCGAGCGTGATCGCGCGGTCCTTGAAGACGTAGAGCTGGAACCACCTGAGCGCGTTGGGGTTGGCCTTGCTGCTGGCCGCCGCCACGTCCTCCAGCGTCGTCGTGGACATGGTGCTCAGCACGAAGCACGTGTCCGCCTTGGCGGTGGCCGAACTGCTGGCGATCTCCCCGTCCGGGTGCGCCAACCTGTGGGTGGACGAGGGCGCCACGCACACGGGGGAACTCACATTATGCCCCAGCAGCGTCGTGCTCGTGTTCATGTTGGACACGTCGCGCAGCACGCGCGGGTGCAGCACCAGCCGCTTGAAGGCCTCGCGGTTCTCCTGGAGCGTCTCCATCGAGTCCGAGCCCGACGCGAAGTAGTCCATCGAGGCCTTGGGCAGGTACTCCCTCGCATACTCCTCGAACTCCAGCACGTTCAGCGGCGTGGCGTCGCTCCCAGGCACGATCTTGACCATGATGACAATGGCGGTGAAGGTGTTGATTGGGTTCTGAGCCCCCCCCCTCAAAATCTTCAACTTCAACCACACGCCAAGTCTCACTTGTACTGGGCTCAACAACCACACCTATTGGGCTCAATATAATGCTGCAGACCACTTGGCGTTCGTGAGGATTTTCTCATTCAGTCGTGTTCATGTTAACAAGCAAGGGGGTTCATTTGTTTTTTTCCTTACAACGTCTCCTACTGCGTGGGAGGCGGCTGCGACTCGGTCGTGTCTGCTTGGGCCGGAGGGGTGTCCTCCTCCTGCTTGCCTTCAGACGCCATCGTCGTGGACGAGGTGGTGGTGGTCGTCGTCACCGTCGTGGTCTTGGTCGTCTGGTCCTCGCTGGTCTTCGCCACCTTCTGCACGGAAGACGCGCCCTCGACCGCGCCAGTCAGCGGCCGCTTCGTCAGAGCGCTTGCAGCTGCACCAGTGAGCGCGGTAGGGGCCGTGTCACCGCCAGCAGCGAAGCGCGCGAGTCGCTGGCTGCGGCGCAAGGCCTCAGGGGGCGCGCGCTCTCCAGCCAGCGACAGGTGCGGCGGGTGCTGGGCGCCAGGGGACGGCGGCGAAGGCACTGGCAGCGAGATGCCAGGCTTGCCGAACACGAGGCCGCCCGATCCGCCAGATCCGAACGCACCGAAGCCCGTGCCGACAGCAAGCTTGAACGGTCCGCTACTCTCTGACGTCTTGGTTTCTGTCTCGGTTGATGCCGCTGCAGGCTTGGCTTCAGCAGCGTCGGCAGGCGGAGCAGGAGCCTTCGTGGGGGTGAAGCGAGCTGCACCGCCTACCTGCTTCTTGATTGACCGCAGCGCAAACAGCCGCAGCTTCTCCTCAGCCGTCATGCCCGACTCGCCATCAGCGGCACCTTCCGTCGACTCCTTTGCCTGTGCTGGAGCCGGCGCTGCAGGCAGTGGCGGTGCAGGTGCAGGTGCAGCAGGAGGCGCCGCCTGAACTGGAGTGGGAGCCGCAGGCTTCGAGGTCGAAACAATCATCGAAGACGTCGCCGCAGTCGCTGCAGGCGTAGAATCCGTCGTGGTCGTCGTTGTAGTCACCGTCGTGGCCACCGTGCTTGTTGACGAGATAAGCGGAGGCGACGGGGCCGCTGGAGCGGCAGGAGTGGCTGAGAAGGCAGCGAACACGGGCTTCGCCACAACAGGCTTCGCTTCGGACACAACAGTGCTTGCCTGTTGTGCCACCGGTTCAGTCTTGGCTACCGGCTTCGGGGATGAAAACAACGGAGTCGGAGGTGTGACTGCCTTGGCCGGCGGAGTGGCACTTGTAGTAGTAGGAGGCGCCTGCGGAGGTGACGCGGGTGGGGAAGGTACCGGCGTCTTCTCATGCGCCACCACCGCAGGCTGAGCGGGAGCAGCAGCAGCGTGGTCCTTGAGCTCACTGTTCTCCTTCTTCAAGCTCTTCAGTCCAGACATTAGACGAGCGTTGAAGTCCTTCAGCTGCGTACTCTTCTTGGTCTCGAGCTCCAGCTGGGCCTTCAGCGTCTGGCGCTCCTTTTCCCATGACGCGGTCGCACCGCTGGCTGCAGCAACACTGTCCTGCTTAGCCGCTTCGCAAGCCGCCAACTTTGTTTCCACGGCAGACTTTTCAGCCGTCACAGCGGTGATTTGCGTCTGGACAGCGGCGAGCTTGGTCTCGAGCGTCGAAATGGTGCTTGTACGGTCCTCCGACTCCTTGTTCTTCTCAGCAAGTTGCTTCGTTAGAGCCTCGGCCTTGTTCTTCCAGTTCTTTGCGAAGCCCTTGATGCGCTCGTACTGTTTGGTCCAGTTCTCGACCTTCTTTTTCTCCTCTTCCAGCTCCTTGCCACCGCTCGAACGCAAGACCTCCAGTTCCTCCTTCAAGGCAGCTTGCTCGGCCTTCAGCTCTGTGAGTTCCTTCGTCAGGGCCTCCTTCTCAGCAATGACCTTGTCATGCTCGGCAGGGTCGACCTGCTGGTACTTTTCAACCAGCTGGTCAACACGCTGCTTCCAGCGCTTGTTGGCATCGTTGAGCGTCTCGACCTCCTGTTTCAGTGATGCCACCTCGGTCTTCAGAGACGCCTCAGCGTTCTGCAGCGGAACAAGCTTGGCTTCGAGGTCGCGCACCTTCACCTCTTCTTCCTTGAGCTTAGCCAGGCTCTTTTGGTTTTCGTCGCGTAACGTGGCATTGCTCTCACGCAATAGGCTGAGCTGCTCCAGCTGGGCAACTCGCTTCTCTTCGTCAGCCACATTCGGCGTCGTTTGCTTTCCAGCCGCAGTTGCCGCTGCCGAAAGAGACTTGATCTCTCCACGGAGACGCTCGATGGTAGATTCCAAGCTGAAGACTTGGGCGCGGCCGCGCTGCACTTCCTGTTGGGACAACTCGAGCTTCGATTCGGCAATCTCGCTTTCCCGACGCAAATACGCGACCACACTTCGGAGATCGTCGATCTCCTTCTCGTGCGCGTTTGACGAAGTAGCCCCCTCACCAGCCTCCTGGCTGGAGCCAACCACCTTAAGCATCTCTTGCTCATGAGCATGACGCACCTGAGCTGCTGCGCGCTCAAGCTGGGAATGCAGCAGCTTGTTCTGTTCGCTGACTGCATTCTTGGCTTCAGTGGCTTCATCAAGACGCTTCTGCAACGTTTCCAACTGAAGCTGCGCCTCCTTCTCGACGGATTGCACCTTCGCATCCAACACTTCAATATCTGCTTCGCGTTCGCGTACAGCCTTGCGAATTTCTTCCATCTCACGACGAGAGGTTGACGACTTGGCAACCTCCGCGGCGTGAAGCTGCAACTCGCGCTCGTAGTTCTCCTGGGTGCTCTCAAGATCACGTTTCATCCGCGCCATCTCCTCGCGCACATTGTTCATCTGCTGCACCGCACTGTCCGCTTGAAGCTGCAACATCTTTTGCTTCTCCGTCGTGTCAAGGATCGATCTCTTGTGCGCTTGCTCGGCGCGGTCGATCTCTTCCCGCAGGCTGTTGTTCTCAGAGATGTGCTCCTTCAGCTCAGCGCGAGCCTTCGCCAGATCCTCATTCAAACGGTCGCGGGTCTTCTCGAGCGCCTCCACCTTCTCAGCCTCATTCTGCTTCCACTTTTCACTGGCACTCGACAGCTCGGCCAAGCTCTTCTCGCTCGCTTCGGCCAGAGCCTTGTATTTCGTCACGCTTTCAGTCAATGTTTTCCTGGAGACAAGCGATGCCTGCACTTCGCGCTGAGCATCGCGCAGCTGAACCTCCAGCGAGGCAACACGCTCAGTAGCAGCAGCGCTTGCTCCCTTCCGTAGCTGCTCACGCAGATGCGTCGTCTCCTTCTGCAGCAATGCTGACTTGCTCTCCAGAGCAGCCTTTTGCTCTTCCAGACGCGCAAGCTGCTCCTTCAACTGACCTTGCGCTTCCTTCAGCTTCGCTAGGTCTGTCAATGCAGCCTGCTTTTCCCTCTCCGCAGCCAACACCTGTGCACCCGAAGTCGCCTCCTTTGCGTCAAATTTCTCGTACGCCTCTTGCAGCTTCGTCTCGAGAGTTGTCACCTTCTTCGTTAAAGTCTCCACTTCGCGGCGGTCGCGCTCCTCACGCCCACTTTCCATGCGACGCGTCGATTCCATGAGCTTCAGCAAGTTCGTATTATCAAGGCGCAAGGTCGTGAGCTCCTGCTGGATCTTCTCCTCGTTCTTCCGCAAGAAGTCCGCTTCACGGGTGGCCGAGTCCTTTTCAACCGTGAGACTCTGCAGACGCGAAGTTGCAGTTTCCAGCTTCGCCTCGGAATTCGCAAGCATCTGTTGGTGCTGCAAAATCAGCGAGCTCAGCTGATCGGCCTTTGAACGTAGACGCACCAGCTCATTCTCTGCGTTGGCGCACCGCTCCTCAGACGCCTCATAGCGCTCCTTGTTGCACGTGGCTTCCACCTGAGCCTGCATCTGCGCTAACCTGGACTCCGAGCTCTTAGCGCGCTCTTGGTCTAAAGATTCCTGCAGCATCTTCACGTTGGCCTGCTTCTCCTTCTTGTAATCCTCAAACTCCATCTGCAACTCACGCAGTTTTCTGCTTTCAATAATGTCAAGTGACCCGCGACGGTTGTGGGGCCTCTCCACCGGCGCCACACTTTCCGGGACTGTAGTGCCGCCTTCAATGAATTTAGTGTCGGATTGGGCGAGAAGCACGCGGTACATGTCGCGCTGCTTCACGATAGCTGTAATCATCTCGCGCTCCTGCTCTCGTTCAGTGCGAAGCTCCTGGATTTCCTTGCGGGCCATGGACAAACGCTTCTTGATCGCACTTGACGCGCCAATTTGGTCTAATTCATCATCCGAGTCCCCAGTAATAATCAAATGCGCTGACGAATCCGTCGACTCAACGTCGCTGATACCGCTGCTCACCTTATCTCCACCCTTCTGCTTGGTCATCTCAGTGAGCTCGCGAATCACTGTAAGAAGCTGCTGGTTGCGCATCTGCAGTTCCTCCACGTCCTTGAATACAACCAAGTTTTCAGACCCAACGTCGCCCGATCCAAAGTTGCCCAGCTGCTGGTGCTGATCCTGCGAGCGGAAAAGCAGGTGCTGCACTTGGCGCGACAGGTCGTCCACGCTTTGGGCGAGCGAGTCGCACTTCTTTTCGAGCGCAGTCTTCTCCTTCCGAGCCTGCTGTTCATTGCTCTTGCTCTTCGCCAGCTCCTGCATGCACTGCTCCAGCCGCTCGCTCAGTTGCGTGTGGCTAGCAACCGTGCGCTCGTGGTCCAAACGCAGGCCCATAAGGACCGGGGCCTTCTCCTGCACTTCCTTGACGATGCGGTCCATGTACAGCTGCAGCTTATCCTTTTCGCTCCGCTCCGCTTGAAGAGTCTCTTCCAGCTCAACGATGTGGTCGTACATTTGCTTGGGGGTCAGACCGTGCGCCGCCAAGTGCGCCTCGCCTGCAGCCGAGGACAGATCCGCAACGGCACTGGCCGTTTGCAGCGAGAAAATCTTCTTCTTCTCCAGCTCCTCGATCTTCTGCTCGGCATTCTG